TAATCATCCCTCGAGATATTTTTTTTTAAAGGGAATATGTTGGGGCCAATTAGTAGTTAATAGTCCTTGATTCAGAGATTACAGTTTAAACAAGACAGCTCATTTCTTCATGTCTAGCAAATAAAAAACAACCCACGGTCTGTGACATCAAGTTACTTTGCTGTTTCCAAGAGAAGGACAGAAAGAAGGAAGGATAAGTGGTGCCTGCTGAGATTTCTTCTGTCCCTGCTCACAGTTTTCATTACTTTCGTCTTCCCTGGCTCTCCTCCAGCATCCCCACTCCTGAAGTCTCCATGGCTCGGGACAGAGACGTGCTTCAGGATGCTGCCAGCCCTGGAGAAAGGCAGGACCTTTGGGAGCCTGAGGAATGCAATCAGGTGGCTTGAGCTGAATGCTATTGTTCCTCCTGTAAGTGCTGGAATATCATGCAATGAATATTCCTATTTGCTATAGTTGCTTCTGCCCCTAATTTGTTGTCAGTAATTCCCCTGTTTAATCCACCTTGGGTACACAAAAAGCTCAGCTCAGAAATCCAGGCATAACTCAAAATTAGCCAATTCTGGGCAGTAATCCATGAAGAGTTAAATCCTGAAGTACTGCCAATTGTTAAAATTAAAGCTATCTTCAAGTAATATCCGGAGTGCTGTCACTTCTCAAAAAAAAAAGATATCCACCCACAGGACAGCCAGATGTACCAACTGAATTTAAAAGGGCTGTTACACCATTCAGCGACTATCAAGTGTGCAAGCTGATATTCGAAAGCAACAGACTTGTAGAAGAGGGGGCACACTTCAGAGGCTCATCCAACCCAAGAACACATCCTCCCCTGACTCACATCAACATATATAATACCTCCAAGATGGGCCAAAGCTCATGACTTCTGCAATGACAGCTTTCAGTAGTCAGCATTTCATTTTCAAAATGAAATATTCAACTCAGACAAAAAATGGGAATACAGCACCTGCAAAATTTTTCCCAGATGGACCTCTGAAATCCCTTACTGCTCTGGTTGTACTTCCAATATTTCTTTTAACAACAGGAGCTGAAGCCAAGGCTAACACACTGCTCTCTGCTTTCCTGATCCTTACAGCTGCTGTTACGTGCTTGCTGTTGCACTGAAAACACACACATCAAAATGGGCAGGGGATTCTAACAAGGGTGAATCTGTTTCTCACGCTTCATCCATGACAATGTCACATACTCACGTCTAAGCAGCAAACTGCACAGGTTTGTAAAATGATGACTCCTACATCCATTCCTGAAAGTAAACAAGAACAAATCTACAAGCTTGTGCTGTCCTCCTATTCATAAGCTGAAATCTGTTAACAAATCAAATTATTTACTTGGAAATATCTACCCAATTAAAGCAAAAGAATTACATTTATGTCTGCATCAAAAATAATGCATATTATGTATGCATAAAGAACACTTGGTGTAGTATCCATCAGTTCACACTATACAGATCTATTCTGAAGGCACTAAATACATCAGACACCCAAGACAACCCTTACATGTTTCTGTGTTCCAGAACAGTGCCTACAAGCAAAGCACAGCCAGAGATCAGTCCTGCTGTACAAAGGCTGACTTGTCTGTGTGGCGCTGATCAAATCTCAGCTCTGCTTCAACCATTCTGCAGAGATGGCTCTTTTGGGACCAGCTGAGTTCCAAGAGCAAATGGCTACAATAGCAGCTTTGTACCAAACTTAATGTCAAGAAGACCCAGGAGATCCATGAAAGGACTCTCCTTCATATTTGGGCAGATCCCACAGCTGGTCCAGACAGAGTCCCAGACACTTACTGCCTTCCTTGTTTTTCTTGAGAAACTATTTGCTATCATGCTGCCAAAGCCTTCAAATGATCCAGCCACAGAACAGTCCCAAGCTGCAGCCAGTCACTCTCCACTTGCTGTTGCCTTAGCCAGCACTCAGCAATTCCTTCTTGTTCACTGTTACTTTGTCTATAGCTTTTAAATATCACTCATTACTGCAATAACTATGAGACACTGAGAAGAAAAAGAAGCTTTGCTTGCAATGATAATTAGACTGTATGCAGAGTATCTCCTGTCCTGCTTAACATGCATCTCAATGTAAAGCCAATTAAACAGGGAATGATGTGTGCAACAGGAGCAAAGAATATGAAATAACATAGAGTGCAAGGAATGAGCACCAAAAAGCAGCAAAACTGTACCTTAAGCCATAAACATTAAGTTGCAATTGAGAAAACAGAAAATAACAGCCAACATGACATAATACACACATGAAAAATGCACCCATAGATACATACACAGTCACAAGCTTCAAGTGAAGAACTACTAAAATTGCTGGGAATATTTCTATTAAAACATCAATTTAATACATTGTGGAAAAAGACAGCATTGATTACTGTATATGGAAGTAAGAACAAAAAGGATCATCACATTAGTATTACAGAAATCCATGCTGCTCCTTTAACTCCCGTTTTAAAAAAAAAAAAGAAAAGATACAGTCAAAATAGGATACAGAGAGACAAGGGGTGATGAGGACAATAAAATGATTCCTCAAAATGATCTAATAAAAGATTAGGAGTCTTCAGCAAGGGGACCGATACAGAAGAGAAACAACTGAAAGAATAAAACTGTAAATTAAGTGTGAATAATCAGCCCCTGTTCACTTCTCCATAAACCAAGAGCAATGGCATCAAATCAAAACCAAAGAAAGTTTTAAAACCTCTACCGACAAATTCAGAGTAAGCTTTTTTTTTTTCTACATGGAGCATGTTGCAGCACCTGTACTGGAAGATGGCATGGACAACAGAAGTACTGTGGAGGTAAAACAGGACTGCACAAACTGGCAGAGCACAGGTCCATCAAGGGCCATCACCTGACAGCGAATGCACCTCTGCACTTCTGCCTGCTGCAGTTAAGGATGGCAAACCAGAGGAAACTGATCATTGTATACTTTCCTTTTTTCCCTCCCCTTATATTTTCCTGAACATTTTTTCCTAAGCAGACAGCATGATGAACTAAAAGTAATTCTGAGCAATATACTCATTACTCAAATAAAAGGAAAACAAACTATAATACTAGTCTTTTAGGATTATACTTTATCCCATGTTTTTCAAATATATGAACAATGTATTTCAATATCTTTCAATGTACTAAGCAGTATTTCATTAGCAATACATTTTTTTTCATGGTAAAATTAATTAGCATAAGAAGAGGCTGTAATTAAAACAGCTTGCGACCATCCCATGACCCCAACAGAGCTGGAATGGGAATTAATTTCCTGTTAGATTCATGACAGCAAATAATCTCTGCATCTGATAAAGGTAGTTAGATATTCATCTCCAATAAATCCCATGCCTCCCACATACTGTTCTGCTATTTCCTTTCTCTAGCAGCCCTTTCTGCAGCTGTTCTTTATAATTAGAAGGAAGATGTTGATGTGCAGAAGCCTTACTCCTGTTTGGAAAAAGGACAGGTCTAACAGGACGAGAATTGTGCGCTCTTTCACCAAAGCTTTTATGGAACAAATTCAGCATGGATTTTAACATGGCAGCATGCTCAGCTGAAAAGGCTTGACATTTTGTGTTGGAAACACATGACTAAACATCCCATTGCAGCCACTACTCTGCACACAATCAAACTCTGTATTATAAAGCTAAGCTTTATAAGTATATATACATTATACCCCAAATTAGAACCAAAATCCTGTCAACTGCAGCATTTACACAAATACTGCTTGGTTAAATTGCAGATCATTTCATCTTTTATCACAAAAAAAAATAAAAAAGTATCTTTGGACAATGAAAGCCATGTGCCTCTACTGCTATTGTCTCAACTCATTTCAAAGCCAGAGTGCTTTGCAGAGTGACAAGCAGCATACACGATCAGACTACAGCAGTCCCGGACAGCAGACACTCTCCAGACAACTAAAAAAAAGCTATCTGATAAGAATGATGTTTCTCCTTCCTCCAGAATTAAGATAAATGTAGGAACACTGGCGCAGCACTAAGCCCACGCTAGCAGGCCTAGCCGACTGAGGCAAATACATCACACTCCTGACATAAAGCAAGCATCTCTGCGCAGCAGAGCGTTATTGAAATGTCAGTGACAGAGGAAAAACCAGCAATTAACCCAAGAATGTTGGAGGAACACAAAGGAAAAACTTCGTACATATTTAATGTGTAACTCCCAAGACTTTGCCCCCACAGCTGTGCAGCTGGCTGTGAGCTGGGATGTGAAGGATATACATCTTACTCTACAGGGGGCTGAAAAGGGGCCAAAGGAAACAGAGGACTTGTGAAGGAAAATAAAGCGAGCCTCACCATGCTGAGCGCTCAGGCTAGCTTTCTGTAGCTTATCTGTGAGAAACGTTCTCTGGCAGCCCGTCTGCACCAGCACAGAACAGGACGCTCACAGACACATTTTCCCAGGGTCTGCACAATCACAAGTGGTACTGCTGGAGTTCAGCTCGTTTCTGTGGCAAGAGGCTTGCAGCATCCTGCTCAGGCACGTACCCGGGCCCAAAAGTCATCTGCTGAGCAAACAGTCGTCTTCCGCTTTCTACAAGGGGAATTTCACAGTTCCCAGGAAGGCTTCTAAAGCAAACTTTCCTTCATTTCAGCCTTTCACAATACATGCACCTAAGCTATCAGAAGCCCAAAGAAAATGCAGTTTAGTCTGCTAAATTCACACTGATGCTAAATTTAATAGGGCTCATTGTACTCATTCATCTCAAACCCATTTTGCCAATAGCTTATTTCTCCAAGCTTCATCTAGAGGTGCATCCTTAGTTTATTTCTATAACTGCAATGAAACCTATTGTCTGTAAAACTACTACTTACGCCAATTAACCAAAGCTATTAAGAAATGTCTTTTTAAGGAAAATAGCATTAATGAAGTGTACATCAAATATGAGCATATAAGCTTTTTTTTCTTTAACAGTTTTTAAATGCAGCTCAGCTCACAGCAATCTCCAGTTTTCCTATCCTTCTTAAAAACAGGACAGAGAGTTACATACCACTGATGACACTCAGCACTTTCATCCCATTTCTGAAAGGCAATCTCCAGCTCTTCTTTCCCTGCAAGTGGTCAGAGGTAAGAAATTCAGCCACTTTCAGTCCTAGCCTTCTCTAAGGAGGGAGGGACCCCACGTGGAGCAGGGGCAGAGTGATGGTGAAGGACAGTCAAGTGACAAAGTGGTATGGACCAACCACAACTCTTTTCCCCTGCACTGCCTGGGGGGACCAGGTAGAAAAGGATGGGGGGAAAGTGTTTTTAGTTTGCTTTTAACTCTTACTGCTTTAGACTCTTAGTGATAGGCAATAAATTATTCTTCCTCATGATGAGCCTGTTTTGCCCATTTCAGTAACTGGTAAGTGATCTTCGGGTCCTTATTTCAACCTGCAAGGTTTTTTTTTTGTCATCACATTTTCTCCCCCTGTTCTGTTGAGGAGGGGGAGTGAGAGAACAACATGGCAGAGCTTAGCTTGCTACTGGTGTGAAACCACCACATCCATATATAATTTCACACCCTTGCAGTGATATGGAGCATCCAATATCACTCAAAGAGATCATGTGAATTTTAAGCACAGTAGCAAATTTTCTTGACCTGTCAACATGGTTTCACCCTATTTGGAAGTACATTCATCTGTAACAAAAAGTATCTTCCCCAGTGTGTCAAGAAAAGTTAACAAAAGTTTGCAATGGTTTTGTTCTGATTCATTCCACAGCATTAGATCTAGAATTTGCCTCACTTCCCTTCTTTCCTCTAAGAACCTGCAGCCTCAAAAAAACGAGAATTAAGCACCTATTAAAGGCAAAAAGAACTATCCAAACAGAAGGTAAATTTCACATTTTAAATGGCTACAGTGGTTTCCAGAAAATATTTTTATTACTTATAATATTAAAAAGTATATTTAGTTATTTGGATAATAAACAGGATAGAGATGTTTTAGAATAGAATCTTTTGTCACACATCTTTAATAAAATAAATATGATAATTTGCTTTGTTCTGACCCACCTACAAACTTGCCAATAAATCAAATTCAAGATAGTGAAGGAGAATGAAATGAAACGAAACTGATTTCACTAACTAAACAGACACATTTAGGTTTTTTAAGTACCTGCACATGTCAGCAACACAAAAAAAACAAATGGAATGAAGCAAAAACTTATCTTACTGTCACACAGGATATATTTAAAATAGGTTTGAGAAACAAACTTTGTACATTTTTAAGTAGCTTTTGGTCCACTTACACTGCTTTTCAGAACGCATACCACCAACCACCACAGTACCACCACATAATGCCCCCACATAGTCTGCAGTGCAGGTTTTATAACTCTGAAGTGTAGCATCAGGTTTGAACACCCTCCTCTCCTTTCCATGAACACACAATTCCTTACCATCAGATGCATATGTTTTCTTCTCATCTGTGTCTTCTGTGATTTCGTACATATCACTATATGCTCGGGCCAGGCGCCAAAGAAAGTCTCTCTGGTCCGCATACTGCAGTGAAAACATAAACGAGATGCATCAACCATGTAAAACATCCATTCTGTCATTGATAGAACAAGAGGGAAAAATCAAGAGAGTGCACAAACTACAAGTTGCACAGACATTTTTGAAACCTTAAAAGGTCCAAGTCTACAAGAACTGAAGCAGAACCTCAAAAGAGCAAACTGAGTGGCTGAATTTATAAGCTTACGATGCTACACTTCTGGTACTAATCTAATGACTGCTGCCCTCTAACAAGGCCTCCCTTCACTTCAGAGGTTATACTGGGGTCATTTTTTTTGCAGTCTCCACTAACCTGAAAACACTGGAGGAAGAGAAAAACAACAACAACAAAAAAAAACAACAACCCCAAACCTCACCACTTCATTAAAATCAGAAACTGAATGTTATTATTCACATTTCAGTCAGCACTCAGTTTCAGTTCCTGGGTCATTCTTGAACCAGAGGTGCACTAGTAAAACTGGAGCAGTTATATTCTAACAAATGTAAGATTTTTATTTTTTTTTTTTAAAAAAGTAAACTTAAAAACACAACCATCTAATCTGGTTTATTTTGCAATGGTGCTGTAAATACAAAAAAAGTGGGAGATCACAATAAAGAAGCATACAAAAGAATTTCAGAAACTGACAACTCCGCCATTTCTTCCCAATTGGAAGGAAAAAAACTCCCTTGGAATTAGAAATGATCAAGTCATCTTTTATATCTTTCCCTCTGTAACTCATGGAAACACAGGAGTAGTACAGGCTTTGCTTTTTAAAACCTAAAAAGTTGTCTTTAATGGCTATGTAGTTCTCAGATAAACTGCTAACAGAGGGTGATGGTACAACTGCAGCGAAAGGCAGTCCATGAATTAGCCACTGTAGATCACAACAGCAGCAATGCTGCATTCAGCAAGGCACATTTCAAGGCTGGGTGCATCACTGTGCACGGCCAGAGATAAAAGCTAGCTCCCTGCAACAGCTGGAGTAGAACTGACCCTTGCTACATTCTCTCACCTCAGCTGCAGCACCAACATAACTGAATCAGGATAGTTTTGTATCACATGTATGATACAGTGACATATCCAGGTTATCAAAACACTAGCTGAGTTTATTGTATAGACAGTCGCACTGTTACTTTGCATTTGTGCGGTGCTCACTCAGGGAAAGTGATGACACAATGTAGTGGAGCTCCAGGACAGATAGGGACTGGGAACTGGCTGCTGCTGTAGCCTGAACCGTTTTGGTCTTCAGCCAGCTCCTAGGCTGCTCCTGAGAAAGAGGGCAGCTGGAAAGTGGCCCAGTTGTTGTACAGAACCTGGATCCCACTAAGAAATGCAATTTCCTCTTTCCCAGCTACTTAGCTAAAAACACAAATCACTGCTGGAAGATATAAGAAGGCAACCTTTACCGCCAGTTTATTATTCAGAAGCAGCTGGAATCCTTCTCTCTTCTCTTGCTCATGTCCATTATGCAAGCGGTCAGCCTGCTGTAGTAGCTGACCCAGTCCTTCCTCCAGCAAGGAATCTAAGATTAAAGGTGTTTCATCCTCGTTGACAAGATCCAGGGAATCCCGACGCACTGTTCTCACTGTTTCACAGCTCACTTCGTCCTCCCCTTCTTCACTCTCCCTCTCTGACTCCCGGTCATAGTCAGACTCTGCATTGGCTGTGGTGTACCTTTCAGGAAAAAAAAAGAAAAAAAAAAAAACATAATGGAAAATTAGTCTGAGGAGATGCTGTGCTATGACACATATGGTACACAAAAACCAACTCTTCCTAACAGAGTAGTGTATCTCAGTTTATCTCAGAGAATGCCATGTGATCCAAGCCTTTCAAATGACACACCATTCATTATTTCGCACGTAACATACACAACCACAAAAGGTTGGAGAAAGAAAGGAAGCCCCTGAAAAGTTAAGTAGAGCCCCGTCACAAGGTACGTCTTGTTCACATACTTTAAAAGCTTCCTTTAGGCCTTTTAACTTTAAGAATTAAACACTAAGAAGAGAGCTAGAACAATTTAGTTAAATGCATGAATTGTAAAAGAAAATTTCAACAAAAGATCCAACACGCTCATCCACGTAGAAAATATGATTTGAGATTTTTAACCTGTTCCAGGAAATTCAGACATAATAGCTGTTTTGGCAATACCTAATACCTCCATTATACTGTTTGAGTGCTGAACACAAAACAGCTTGTTCCCACTGAAAAGGTACAAAACAGGAGGGGAGCAATCCAAACTATTTGGCTTGAGCAAAAGTCAAGCAAGGAGATTGCAGATGAGCCAAAGAAAGGCACCCCATGAACAAAAACCTAGGCGGTGATTAGCTGCTAAATTAGTCAAAAGAAACAGGATAAAGCTTAGATCAAAATTGCTGAAAATGGCTAAAATTCAGCTCCCCCACATCATACACAGGCACCTAAGTTGCAAATTTAAAGCAGCATAATATAATTGCGGTACAGTATCTACTTACAGAATGAGTGTGAGGGCATAGTTTCAAACAACTTGAAGAAGATTTCTTGATCTATTTGACCCCCTCACATTCTTCTGTGAGTGCTTAACTGGAAGGAGCAGCCCAAGTTAGCCAGGAATTTAAGAATTTGTACTTTTATATTCGGATTTCATTAGTTTATCTGTGTAGAAGGCAACCTTCCTGAAGCAGTAAGCAGTCAAATCCCACAAACGTTTAATTCTAGAGGATATTTGTTGCTGTTTCCTAATTAACCTGTGCCCAAGTTAAATGCTGAACTTTTAAAAGTTAGAATTAAAAGTTGTCACAGCCTGGGAGTATTCAGTAACTTTAGCTGTACTCCCTTTTGTCCTGGCCACACTGTTCTCCAAGGCAGAATCCATCACTCCACATGTGAAGCTAGTTTCCTTTGTCTGGAGATACAGATATGTGACTAGTGCACATATCTAAAGAAAGCAGTTACACTAATTTGGCCACAGACAGATAACAAAGTACATTTGGCTATCAAAACTTCAGTTTTCTAAGAACCATCAATTATGCTCAAGCATTACCCTTTCTGGTAGAAGGTAAATAGCCTCATTCACCACAGCCTGCAACTATAAATTTTAAAAAGTACCATTTTGTAGTTTAAAAAATATACAAATAAGACAAGCAGTAAAGTAACAGTCATCTGGCATCCCTGCAAAACGTGGAAACCAAACACAAGGTGATGTGCTGAAGGTTTTCCATTAAATTCCGCACTGCCTACTTACAACATGGTGGTAGGTGAGACTGGCATGGCTCTCATTCGGATTGAGCTAAAAGCTTAATTTCATGGTATTTTCTCACGGTTAATGATATTATTAGTTCCTTAGACTATGTCATTTTCAGTACTTAAACAAAAACTCCTCAAATTTCCTCTGTGGCCTGAGATTTAGCCCAATTCATTATTTCCCATCCTAACCCACTAAGCAGCATGGCTGTGGGCTCCACAGCGGTGATATTGTTTCACTGCAACATTTCACTGGTGGCTGCAAAGATTTAAACCACTTTCCACACTGAAGGATCCTGAAACACAGTAAGGCCTTTAAAAACAAGCAGCAACAGGTGGCTCCTATACACTCCTTTCTTCACCACAAAAATGTGTTTTCTCCAAGACAGCTCATACAAGATACTGCCAGCTTAAAAAGAGATGTAATGCTGTACATAATTTCATAAACTCAAGAGTTTTTAGAAAGATTAAGGGATTTAGATATTACCGGCCCATTTTCCCAAGTTTATGATGATGGAAAGTCCTTAAATGCTTTGGTATGTTGAGGCCTCTGGCTAGCACACATCCCAACAGAAAATGAAAACACACTATTTGGAACTGAAAAGCACATGGAAGGAGGTGAAGAAGCCCAAAAGACCAAAGCAGTGCCAAAGCAATATACAGAAATTAAATTCTGTAACAGCCCAAGACCTCCAGGCTCCTGAAAGCTTGTGGAGATTTTTGTCAATTGTATATGAAATTGGAGAAGATGTGGTTTATATGTGGTTTATATGGTCCATGTGGTTTATAAAATAAAGCTGAAATGTGACTTTTTTTCACCCCCTGAATTTCATTAAAATAATGCAATTGCCAGAAATGAATACACGGCTGAAACATATCTAAGGATAGTCTTATTCTTCCTCCCAGCGGCTGCTAAAAAGCTCAAATATTCTTTTTCCAAAAAGTGCATTTTCTACCCTGATTTTCTACAATACAATATAGTATTTACGTCTCTAGAAGAAAACACTGCATGCCAAAGGCAGCTGGTCCTGAACAGACTAACCTTACACTTATTTATGTAGGACAAATACCACAGTGACAAGATACACCATTCAAATATCCTATGCATACATATATTTATATTTACATCAAACGAGAGCTGCTTATCTATTAGTTCTTCACTCCAGTCATAAAAACTTCTTATAGATTTTAAATAAAAAGTAAAAAATCCCCTAACCATCAGAAGGTTCCTGATAAAGTAACAAGGTTTTACAGTAAAATACGCCCCCACTCCACACTTCACTTGAGGCCCTCCAAGAAGAGTCTGAGCAAGCCTTAGGATCCATCCTGGCCTCTATCACGACTTAAAAATTTGTAATGATCAGATGCCACTTGGGGCTGGTATCTGTTGAAAAATATCACCCTTTTCAATATGCTTTATAAAATACCTGTTGGCAACCTGATAATTAAACACATCTGTTGTTATCTGGATTGCACAGCTCCTGCCTTCAACTGTATATATATACAGACAAACATACATATATATAGCCTTCTGACACATTACACCACCGTGACTCACTTACTCCCAAATTTTGCTTTCATATGAACACAAACTTCAGACGAATGAAGCAGTTCTATCACCTAAATGACACCGTATCAGCTCTTTCCTGCCTCACCAATTCCAGTTACTGAGACTGAATACTAAAACGACCTATTTGGAAGTAAGAAGGCCTGCTTTCCCACAGATCTGTGTCCTTTGTTCTAGGAGGCTGCTCCAGTAATTGCAGCTTTGTGTCCTGATTACAAACCCATGTTGCAAAGTGTCAGTGTGCACCAGCTGACTGGTCATTAGGCCACTACCAAACAGCACCTTTCGTCCAAATTCTGCCTCTCTTTCTCTTTGAGCCTTAATTAACTTCTCTCTTTAAATTGTATTTCATGTCAACCTCTTTGGGAAAATGTACCAGCACTGCAGTGTTTTAGAAAATGTCTACAAACTTCAAAAGCTGTAAAATTCATCTGATTAAGACACAGTAGCCTTTCATCAGAAAGGCAGAAGTCTGGCACGTGTATGCAGCAGACCTCTTCCTTTAACATCACGATACTTGCAGTTATACTGGATTCTTTGTGTGTGTTCTTCAATTATACCGTAGTTTTCGCCTGGTTTTAGATTAGAAGAACCTAAGCAACAAAAGTGATCACTGATACACACTGAGAAAAATTCACAAGAAATACCCGAGTCAACGACACGTTAGTTAACGGGAATATGTTTAGATTTCTCAAGTTTCCCATACATTCTAAAATGTATTATGTATGGAAATTTTATTTGTAACCTGATAAATCTCTCACTTGAGTTTCAGGCTGGGGTCCTAATACCCTTCTTCCTGCAAGGTTTCCTAATCAAATTTGTTTGTTTGTTTTGTTTTGTTTTTGTTTTTTAAAGTTTCTCCTACCACCTCCCTAAAAGTCATGCTTGAAATCACAGCACTTATTTCTGGCAAAAGCTCCTGATCACCCATCATACATTAAGAACGAATTCCTGAAACTCCCAACTCCCACTAACAAACACCTTCTGAGGTTTTATCATGTGTGTGTGTTTGCTTCAAATTGCGCCGTGTCATTCAGATTCTCAGGGAGCTGTATCTGCCTTCAGCAATCACTATCAAAATGTAATAAAAAAAAATCTATATTCCAAAGTTACGATCCAGCCCAACTGGAGTATTGCTGATTTCCCTATAGTACACTGTTAACTTTCCTACCAAGCTGCATACAGTAGCAAAGACATGTCCCGTGCTGATAACCACCACTGGAAGGCTTCGGTTTTCTTTATAAGGAGCAGTCTTTATCATTGGGGCCTCAGAGGGAAATAACTTTCCCTTACATAATACATCAGGTGGACTTATTGCAATAAAAGCAAATAAAACCAGGATGACAAACAGCCAGCAGGGAAAAGAAAACAAACCTTTTCTTTGCATGACACTGCTCATAAGTAAGTAATTGGGCACCAAAGTCTATAAAAGCTGCCTTAAACATGGTGTTCTGCTCACCCGCCTTCGCTTTCTCCATCATCTGTGGTAGCTGCTCCCGAGTTGGCTGTGAAATAAATTGAACTGGACCCCGTGGAATCACTTCTTTCCCTATGGAACGGGAAACGCCTTCGGCGTGTCACTCTCTGCGTTTCTTCCAGATGGCACCTGTAAGAAAGGCAAAAAGAGAAACAAAACCTACTTGATGGTGAGATTCTGCTTCCAGTACCTCTCTCTAGCAGATTCTATCCGATTTGCTCTATGCCCAAAAAAATCACAAGGTGACTTGCTCTTGCTTACACAAACATCTCACTACCATCAGTACCATGGTATTCTACTCTTAAAGCAAGTCTGACCACAGCAATACATATGCAAAAGGATAATCATATCACATGCCTTCCTCTGATTTCCTCAGTGAACAAAGGAAGAGGAATCCTGAAGCCCCTTGCGGAACCTAAAACCTTTTATTGTGTATCATAAGTCACCTACAGTTGGCAGCACTTAATGACAAAACAGCAGTAACAAGAGACAAAGATTTACAAAACAAATAACCTTCCTAGCCTAGAATATGTCCTAAGCAAGTGTCAATACTTACTATTCCAGAAGAAAAAAAATGCAAACTTGGCTAAATATACATTTTTACATACTTTTATATTAATCTCACTGGAGTCCAAGACACCAGTGGAAACTAAAGAGACGGTTTTTTCCACTTTTTCATTCTGCACTTAACATACACTTAATTAATCATGGCTGTTTTCCTGTGCTATGGAGTACAAACGTACAACGATAGGAAAAGACAAGGAAGGAGAAGGGTCGATACTCACCTGACTTCACCAACGATTTCTCCAGCTAAGTGCTGCAGGCTGTTTCGTAGCTCCTCCACTTCTTTCCTTAGCTCTGCAATGTTTCTCAACATGAAGTCCAGGCGGTCGAGAACATCCACCTGTTCGTCCTGTGTCAGCAGAGGTGTGTACACAACACCATCTCCTGCCTCTACTGGAACTGGCATTCTGGACAGGGCTTAAAAAAAATGAGAGAAAAAGTTCATTAGATGCAAATGGAAAGGGATGTCTCGTAGGAAATCTCAGTTCAGCTTTGTTTTCAGAAAATGGAGGATATAAGCATTAATCTTGGGTACGGCCTCCTGACCTGGCCTAGGGTTTTGGGTTCTTCCACTGGTTTACCACTCCCTTCTCTGACACCAGCACATAGCCACACCTAACAGTTGGGCAACACTAATCCAGGTGAATAAAGCTCTTTTAACTACACTTCCCTAGACATCCCCTTGTGAAAAATCTAGAAAAAGAGCAAAATCTATGCCGAACATCACTAGGACCACTGCAGAAAACCAAATTGCTGTTTTTTTAAGAAGTCCTGACTGCAAATTAATTAAATTTCTGTTCTGCATGCTTCTGTATCAACATGACACGTGAAAACTAGTCTGCTTTTCTTCTGAATTGCAATCAACTCTGGAGGCCACCAGCCAGGAGAACAACCAGCCTACAAGGTAACACGTGGCAATGAACAAGGGCAGTACGGCTAACTGTGGACAGACTTTTCTGTCCCCAATATTAAATAAATGTTAAATAAAAATTATGTTAAATATCTTAAATAACAAATAGAAACAAACAACAAAACAAGCCGAACCAAACCAACTAACCAAAAAAAAACCCAACACCCAAGCCACAACTCTATTCTTATTCAGGAAAACGAAACAGAAACCCAAAGAGCAGACAACGGGCTTCAAATTGCAGCTGTCATCAACACACGTCATCGGCATGGGCCAACCTACAACATTAACCAGTTTGCCTGATCTTTTAAGTCTTCTGGCAGATACAGTGAGATCTCCCAGCCCATACAAACAAATGAACATTTGTGAATTTTAATTGCTTTCCTCCTCACAGGACTGTTTACAAGTCCCTCCCCGCCCACCAACACAGAAGCAGTGACAGGTCTTTAGATAACCCAGCCAAGGCACTGAGGTGAGAGCACTCTCTTTTTTCCTTTTCTCTTGTTTTTTGGTCTTTTTTTTTTTTTGGCTGCAGAGCTACGGAAGCACCTGTCCGTGCCCAGTGTCCCCCCCCCCCCCCCCCCCAAGCCCTGCTCCTTTTAAAACCCGAGCGATGCCACAAACACACGCTGCCTCGTTTTCTACCCCTGCAGCTTTGCCCAAGCTTGGGAAAAAAAAAAAAAAAAAAAGAATAAAGCAAAAAGAAGAAAAAAACAGCCCCCACGTGCGTTAACCTCCGCGCTCCCCGCGCCGGTCCCTACCCTGGCTCCGCCGCCCCACGGCCTCCGCGCAGCCCGGGCCGAGCCCGCCGGGCCGAGCCCGATCCCGGTCCTGATCCCGATCCCGGTCCTGATCCCGATCCCGATTCGGATCCCGCTCCGGATCCCGGCCGTCTCCCGTGCGGCGCCGCCGGAGCAGGCCGAGGCCGAGGCCGAGCCCCAGCCCCAGCCCCGCGGCGCCCAGCGCCAGCCCCAGCCCCAGCGACGGGCGGCCGGGCCCGGGCCGCGCCATGGCTGCGGGGGGACGGGGCGGGACAGGACGGGACGGGAGGACCCGGGGAGACCGGGGGGAACGGGGCCGGACCGCGCTGTGGCGTCAGGAGGCGTCAGAGCCCCGCGCCTCGGCCGGAGGGAGGGGCCCGGCTGGGGCTGGGCCTGTGCGAGGGTGTGTGTGAGTGTCTATGTGTACATGTGTGTATGTGCACATTTTCCCTTTAGCAACACCTGTACCTACACTTGTACCTGCACACCTGCACCTGTATGTGCACCTACAGCAACACCTGTACCTACACCAACACCTGTGTTGATACCTACACCTACCCCATACACCTGTACGTACACTTGTACCTATACCTAAACCTGCACGTGTATCTGTACCTACACCTAAACCTAAACCTACACCTATACCTAAACCTACACCTAAACCTATAGCTGCGCCTACACCTAAACCTACAGATGCGCCTACACCTAAACCTACACCTATACCTAAACCTACACCTGCTCCTATAGCTGCGCCTACACCTAAACCTAAGCCTACACCTAAACCTACACCTGCACCTACACCTACACCTGCACCTATAGCTGCACCTACACCTAAACCTGCACCTATAGCTGCACCTACACCTAAACCTAAACCTACACCTGCACCTACACCTAAACCTAAACCTACACCTAAACCTATAGCTGCACCACACTGCCCCAGTTCCTACAACTACACCACCACAATCCCTACACCACCACAATCACAGCAACACCACCACAAACCCTACAGCCACAGCACAGCTTTGCCAACGACCATGGTGCCACCAGCACCCAACGAAACCCTTGTGCCAGGGACCTGCCCCATCCCTTTCTCACTGATGCAGATATTTCGGGTGACGACTACAGGAGCACCTTCCAGCGGGCACGGAGATGGAAGGCTGAATTTCTTCGTGCGGTTATTACGTATAACCCAGGGCAGCACAAATTCATGGTCCCGCGGATATTAAAGATGTTATCAGAGTAACACCGTGCTGCAGCCTGCTGTTCCTGTTCGTCTCACGTTGCACTTTAATGAAAGTAATAAAAACACGGTTTTGTGAAAGAAATAATTTCCGGAAATAATAGCTCCTGCTTGAGCTCTATTACTCTTTCCCTTTAACCCCTCATGATTCAGCAGAAAAAACCTGGGCTGGTCAGGTGGAGTGTTGTAAAGACCTGAAATCCCCACTGGATTTCATTTTCTTTCTTTTTCTTTGGTTTTCGTAAGCTCCTTTGGGTTTATCACCGTAACAGCTTCAGCTGCTCACATAATATCCTACAGTCTGCCTTCCCAGTCATTACCTTCTTGCCCTGAAACGTGCCAGTCCTGCAAACAACCCCCCAAATTGCACTAGTGTTTTTGTTATTGTCATTAAACCCTTCTGAAATGAAGAGATTGCTGCTGAAGGTAAAGCAGTAATAATGTCCTTTCCCATTTCCCCACAAATCCTTTTGCTGGGGCCAGAGGGAGGGCATAAATCCTAAATCATCAGTGAAACTGCTGACACTACTATACCCACCATGTAGGTTACTGGAATACAGTGGGGCTCTGGGGAAATGAACATACATGTAGACTGATTTAAGTTCTTTTTATTTTCTAAATGCTTTACTTTTCCTAAAATAACCTTGTAATTCGGTTTTACAGAGACACTTTGGGTCTGTTTGCTAACAGATCTCCAGCAGACGTGCCAGACAGGATGCTGACGCTGTGACCGGTGACAAATGGCCTCGCATCTGACACACAAACCAGAGCTTAGCAAGAAGCACAGATGACTTTCAGAGGCATTTTATCCTTATCTCTGTGTGGGGGGGAAGTCTATTTCTCCCACGTGACATCAAAATGTGGAGTGAGAATCACCAGCTCCTCATAAAAACACACAGCATCATCACTTGGAGCAGGATCAAAGCCAACAGGTTGCAAGGACCCAGTGCTGTGGATGAACAACTTGCTTGGCAATTAGGAAGCAATTCTTCATTACTAAAAGGCAGTGCAATTATTTTCATACGCCTCAAGTTTTCATTAAGCGTGGTGTTCCTGGAATAGCAAATCTTTTGATGTAACGAGTGTTCTTCATCCCCTGAGCAGAGGGGCTTGCAGGTGACTTGGACCATCAGCTCTGGGTCTGGAATTGTGGCCTGAAGGATGGTGCAGGGCTCTAGAAGCACTCTGCAGTGTGAAATCTCTCACAACCTCACTCTTTGCTGGCTGAAGGCTGGACAGCTTCCAGGAGTTTGAAATGGTTATTTTAGAGAGCAAACCATTCATAGGACTTGCCATGATAGAGAGGGTGTAAAGAACCACTGGCTTTTGGTTGAGATCACAGTATTTTAGTTGGAGATGGACTCTGCCTAAGGCAAGGAAGATATTAATGATAAAATTAATGGCAAAATCATGAGCTCCAGGCTTTTGCATTTTAATTTCTCCATCCCACAGTAATTGCAGTGAACCTGTGGGCTGGTTACATTTCATAGAATTGTAGAGTGGTTTGGGCTGGAAGGGACCTTCAAGACCAGCTGGTTCCAACCCTCTGCCATGGGCAGGGACACCTCCCACCAGACCAGGTTGCCCAAAGCCCCATCCAGCCTGGCCTTGAACACCTCCGGGGATGGGGCCTGTGCCAGTGCCTCACCACCCTCTGAGTGAAGGATTTCTTCCTAATGCCTTAGCTAAAGCTCCCCTCTTTCAGTCTTGGGAGCTGCAAAAAGAAAGGAGTGTTACCAGAAAAAGTCACTGATGTCAGATGGGGAAAAGCAGAGCTCTTCATGTGCCACTCTTGTAACAGTGCAATGATCTATGGCAGAGTCAAGTGACCTTTTGCTTTATTTTCCACATATTATTGCTGCCCATGTCCAACCATGACTTTAAGTAGACAGGTCGGAGCCAGCGCCAAGGGGCGATAATTGCTTTCTGATGATGGATGGTACCGCTGGGCTGTACTGCACTGCATTTTATGGCTCGCTCTCACGCCACTGCCATGCAGAGTGCTTGGGCTGCCTCCCAGATTTCGGTATCTCGACAGGAAATTCAATACCAAAATACTGTGTGCAGGCTCTGTTTTTCTTTTTCCTCTCTTTTATTCCCTGCCCCCCCAAGAAAGAGCCTTGCGAGAGCCAAAGCAGGCAGCGAGAGCAAGCACCTGGCAGCACACCACGCTGCAAGAGCCCTGGATGGTTTTTTTTCCTTCTTTTTTTCTCTTTAATTTGCAGAGAGATGCAAGGGTCTGGATTTCATCTCTGGGCATCTTCCCATGGCCAGTGGGACGGGAACACACTCACAGCAGAGACAGCCTGGTCCAGGTCACCGGGTGGGTGGTGGATTTGGGTGCTCCTGTAGGAAGCAAACACAACCGAGTTGAAGTTAGCAGGAGAAAGCACTTCCTTTTCATTCACTGGGTAATGGAGGCAAAATTATGCCTCAGTTTCTCATGTTAGAAGCCAAATGCATGTTTACACCAGAAAATAAGTGTTAGGAACAAACATTTGGCCCGTTCTGACACCAGGGAATTTGGGAAGACCATTCTGGGCATGCAGGTGATCTGAATGAGCAGGGGTTTAACCTATGGGGTGAGGTATCCACATACAGCTCAAAATGAATATATCAGGATATTTGGGGCACACTTTAGGAATATGACAACATCAACGTCCATTAGTTTGTTTTGTTGTTTCTTTGCTTTTGTCAGGCCCAAACCAACAGGCATGATAGGAACAGCAAAAATTGTCTCTGAGTATTCTCTTTAGACTAGTGAGCAGAAATGTGTATTTTTCTCTCTCAATCCCTGCCGGAGTTAATCAGTAACCCGTGGCAGCGCAGATAAACTGGCCCCAGGTCAGGCAGGAAGGACACAATGTGCCACAGCCTGAGCTCGGCCACATGGGAACATCCTTCTGCCTTCTCCTGAAGATCAGTAAGAAAAGTAGGAGTTGATTGTAGTTGCTGATGAGGTGCATGGGAAGATTTCTGTGCAAGTTTTGAGGTTATAGTAATATTTGTTATTTGCAGAAATGTTCATTGTTTTACTTGTAGCTAGAGCAGGTGTTGAGGAAGGAATTCCTCCATCAGCTCCCACATAGGAAGCACTGATGCTCTGGACTTGAGATATGAGCTGCCCCTGAAATTTTGAAGGCATTTAAACCATCACATTTCCAGATAAAAGCTGCAGGGTCCTGGGCTCACCGCTGCCTGGTTCCTGGTCCTTTGTCTCCCCGTCCTTCATCTCCCTGTCCACTATCTCCTGCTCCAGCACCTCTTGAGCCATCACCTCCTGTCTTTCAATTCCTGTCCTCCATCTCCCTGTCCATCATCTTCTTATCCATTATCCTCCTGTCCATCACCTCCCAGTCCATTGCCTCAGTATCCAATGTCTACCGGTCCACAGCCTCCAGGGTTATCATCTCCCTGTCCATTGACTCCTGCTCCATCACCCCCAGATTCATCATCTCCTGTCCTTCATCTCCCTGTCCATCACCTCGCCGTTCATTGTCTGGGTCCAGTGTCTCCTGATCCACTGCCTCCTGGGCTATCATCTCTCATCCTTCATCTCCAGGTCCTTCATCTCCTCGTCCATCATCTCCTGCTCCATCACCCCCAAAGCCATCACCTCCTGTCCTTCACCTCCTCTCCTTCATCTCCCCATCCATCATGTCCTGTCCTTCACCTCCTCTCCTTCATCTCCCCATCCATTATCTCCCCATCCACCACCTCCCTGCCCTTCGTCTCCCTACCCATCACCTTCCTCTCCATCACCCATCTCCTTCTACCTCCTCGTCCTTTTTTTTTCTGGGGGGGGACGGAGAGCAAACCTAGGACCCTTGTGGAACCCTTACGGTTTCTTGAACCACCCGGGCCACCTCGGGAGCCCCCCGGGGAGCTCCCCTTCGGGGAGGGATCTGCGCGGCGGCCGCGTCCTTCCCCGCGGGCGGAGCGGGGGCGGCGGCGGGGCGGGACGGGAGCGGCCGCCCCCGGCCACAGCCCCCGGGGGTGGTGGCGACGGCGGTGGTGGGGTCGGGAGCATGCCGTACCTGCTGGTCAGCACGCAGATCCGCATGGTGAGTCCGCCCCGCCGCTGCCCTGCTCCCCCCGGGGGCTGCGGGGCTCGGGGGGAGCGCCTGGGGAGAGGGGAGACGGAGAGGGGGGCGGTGGAGATGGGGGAGATGGAGATGGGGTGATGAGAATGGGGGCGATGGAAATGGGGGTGATGGAGACAGAGGAGATGGAGATGGGGTGATGGATATAGGGGTGATGGAAATGGGGGGGAGATGGAAATGGGGGGCTCCTCCCAGGCACCGTGCTGCTGCCCGCAGCATTGCCCTGCACCTGCTGCTGGGGGGCTTGTGGGGGCTGCCCCAAGGGGCTGGGGTTGCTGCTGGGTGAACAGGGCTGTGGGCAGCCACCCTCGCTCTCCTCCCTTCGTCCTGAGCCTTTGCCTGGGTGAGGTGGGAGCAGGAGAGCACCCTGCTGCTCTGCTCCCCTCAAACAGTGAGCAAGAAAGCTTGGGAAACTTGTTGCAGGAGCCTGTGAAAAGTCAAAGAAAGTAATCCACGTGTGCTCACTGTAGGTTTTTTCTCTTCCCCAAAAAGCCCCGCTGGCTGTGCCACGGTGGAAAACACAGCCACAGCCAAAGGGCAGGGCGTTACTGGCCCCAGGGTGGCTGCACAGCACCCAAAGCCACGGAAGGGACTGCAGCTGAGACCCGTTGTTCCCCTAAAAAGGCACAGAGGAAACCTTGCTTCCTAGTGATTGCTGCCCCACTGGCAGCCAGCACGTCCTGCCGGGCCCGCAGGAGCAGGCAGATGTCTAGAGGGTTCGTTTTTTGTTTTCCCAAGGGGAACGATATCAAACACTGTCTGAAGGCCAAAGTGCGATGTCGCGGTTTTGCAACGGGAAGGGTGCGATGGGGAAAAGAGCAAACCAATGAGCTGGCAGGAGTCTGGTGAGAGATGCAGTCTGTCCGAGGAGTTTTTGTTGCACCAAAACATCTCTGTCTGCAGCGATATTTGGTGTCACACCACGGACACATTTTGTAGCGTTTCAGGGAAACGTACACAGCAGGGTGGACTGAAATACCTACAGGTTAACGCACTTTGCCCCGCAGACTTGGGAAACTCTGCTCTTTAGCAGCGCAAAGCAAACATTCACAGCCTGAAACCTGGCATCCAGCCACGGCTGGAAAGGGTCTGTGCTGGCAGAGCAGGGCGGGGATGGATGTTGCTGTCTTTTGCTGGCAGCAGCTGGGGTGGTGACAGGGACACCAAATACCGATTCCCTACTGTTGTTGCTGTCAGGGTGCCTGGCTGTTTTACTGCCTACAGACCCTGTCCTGTACCAGGGCTGAGCTTCCTCCAAGGGGTGATGGAGAGGGGTCAGAAAGGAGCTGGGTGATGCTTAAGTTGCTTTGGGTGCTACTCAGGGATGAGCAGCCCTCCGCACGTTACAAATTACTGATAATTAATGTAGGTTGATGATGGCAGTGCCAGCAGGTGGGGACATTCTTCAGAAAGTTTTAACTTGCAAACTTTTGCGTGTAGTGTTAAAAGAGAGAGTTAAAAGGGAGTACTAGCTCCACCTATTAGAATCAATTAAAAACCCTAAGTTTTTGTTGTTGTTGAAGGCTGTGGTCTTTGTTTTTTCTGGCTTTGGTGTTGTGGGGTGGCTGGATGCTCCCCATCAGTGTGGGGACAGTCCAGAGGCAGGCAGTTATTCTGGAGGTCACGCTGGAGCTATACTTCTCCGCTACAGCCTGTTACTTGGTTCTGGAAATTGTCCAGACCAGGAATATCTCACAAAATAACACCTCTGGAGCGCTGAGTGACAACGTCCCTGTCCCCTTCATGTGACATGTGTGAAAGCCACCTGGTGGCTTTGATGGGGCGATGACTCACGGCTGCAGCCTGCTGCTCCAACAGAGCGTGACTGCCCTGCCTCATCCCATGGGTGCTCCTCTGCCTGAACCACCCCACAGCACCTCCTCGTCCCCATCTTCTCACCCTTCCTCGCTAGTAGAGCAGTTCCAAAGCCGTCCTCTGCCAGCACAGGCAGACAGCCTCAAACTGGCCTGGGGACTCATTTCAAAACAGATTTGCTGGTTTTGTGTGATGAGGCCACGAGTCCCACCCCACTGCTGCCCTACAGACTTCCCAGAGCTGGATCCCAGGGAGCAGAGGCACCGTGAGCTCAGCCAGCAGGTGGCTCTCCAGGAGCAAAGCCACCAAGGTCCCCTCCTGGGACATGTGGGTGGCTCTGTCCTGAGCTGAGACACCTTGCCTCTGCTCCTGCAGGCAAAGGAACCTACATCAGTGCTCTTAAGGGTGGCACTGGAAACCTCGTTTTCCTGAGGACACAATTCCCTTCCTGGTACCACTCACTGTCCCGAGGAGCGGGGAGGGGTTGACCACGTGGCTGCACATCGCTCACCGGCTCTGCTGCCTTTCCCTGCAGGAGGTTGGCCCCACCATGGTGGGAGACGAGCATTCGGATCCCAGCCTGATGCGCTACCTGGGGGCCACCAAGAGGAACATGCTGGGGAACCACTTGTAAGTGCATTTCCAGTGATGGTTCAGGCTCTCTCCTCTCCAGATTTACCCAAGGGCATCGCTCCTCGTATTCACCACAGCACCTTCCAGCTGCACACCCACTTTTAATCCCAGCACTAATTCGATGCTGGAGGGGCACACACGTGTCCTTGGCCCTGCCTCTTAGTGCTCACCCAAGGAAACGCTTCCTGACACATCAGGAGGTGATGCTTTTTCTTTTTTTTTTTCTCCTCACCGTGACCCCGTTTTAGCTCCTGACCCACCTTCTCCCCATCCTTACATGCTTGGGATGCTTCTGGTTACTACCTGACACATGCCCTGGCTGAAATAAAACAGGCACAGTGAGCACTTTAATCTTTCTGCATAACTATCTGCCTTTATCCCATCCCTAGCTCTCAAAGACAAACCTCTGTCTTGTTACCATTTCCAGCCCCAAGATGCTCAGGAGCAAATCAAGTCCATCCCTCCTCCTGCACAGCCTTGCTCCGGCCTGTTTTGGTGCCAAATGACCCCAGATGCTCATCCACAGCCTGTCCTGCCCACTCCCCACCCTAGCTTGAGTTTTCTCCCCGTTATTGAGCACCCGAGCCAGCCCCTCTTGACAGCCCCAGATGCCTTTCCTTGGGCAGCTGAGCCCCAGGGTTAGAGCTGCTCCATGTCCCCACCCTGTGCATTCCTAAACCATACATATCTGACACTTCCCTGCATCCCCACGTCTCTCTCTGCCCACACCAAGTTTGACAACAGCTTTCAGGAGGGTGCAACTTGGAAATGCTGCCATCCTATTCCTTACATCTTGGCCCACTTCCCCCCCCCATTTGGTATCTCAACTTCTTGTTTTTCTCCAAGACTAAGCAAAACAACCCCCCTCCCAAATGCAAATTAAAACAGAGAGGAACAGTCAGATTTCTGCTCAAGCTTGCCCACTCGCGCCACAGCACAGAGGAGGAGTAGGAGGAAAACCAGGCGTGAAGCAGAAGGGGCTTCTTGGTCCCAGAATGTTCTCAGACTGCCGCCGGCAGGGCTGGGAAGACCCACCCCCTCAGCACCAGGCTGGCAAGCATCGAGGTCCAGCTCCTCCACTGCCGCAGCACCAAAAACCTAGAAGATTAAAGAGCAGGAAAAAGAATCAAATAAAAATCAAAGGCTGTCTGGTGAAGAGAAACCCTCCTGAATGCAAACTCGGGCCACCTGCCTCTGCAGGAGGGCTGATCCTGACCTCTCCAATGGCTCCTTTCCATCGCTTGCAGCTCTGGGGTGGGTTTGCAGGGCTGAGCCATCTCCATGCTGCTATTCCCAACCCCGTGGGTGGCGAGGAGATTGGCAGCAGTGTCAGCTTCATGCTGTTGCCTGTGAAGCCGAGCCCAGAAGCAGGCAGGGAGTTATGCAATAGGAGAAAGGAGACCCGAGGGGAAAAACAGAAGAGGCTTCAAGGAGGACAAAGTGCTCCTGAGATGGAGGCGACTCTAAGATTTGGGTAAGGGAACAGCAAAGAAAGGCAAAATGCCCCCCACGCTGCCTGCCCCCAAAAGCCAGGGAGGAGATGCAGAGTTGGAAGGAACAGGAGTGCCAGACTTTGCTTCTTTTGGGGAATTTTTTATTGAATCTCCTCTGCTGCAGCCTCCATCTGTGGCCTGGTAGGTATTTTGGGCTCTTTCTTGCCCCACCTGCTTCTTGTCACAGCTTGTGTCATACCCAGGGTCACCCCACTGCTTCCCTGCAGCACGTCTTCCCCGGGTGCGCTTGAGCAACAGGGGGTGGAGAAAACAACCCGGCAGGAATGTGGCTGCTGACACCCCGAGAGGCGCAGCGACATGCCAGCGGGGTGAGCCCCATCCACCCTTCTGCCAAAAAAAACAATAAACGGCCAGGAAGGAAGGAAAGCACCGCAGCCAAGCAGGATTCTCCCTCTGCCTGGCTTCAGGGCTGCACTAGCAGTAAGCCTGGCAGTAGGATGCCACAAATCCTGCCCTTTCCATAGCACTGTGAGTCCCAAAACCTTAAACATGACCTAAGGAGCTCAGAGGGAGCCTGAAAGAAAAGCTCTAAGCAGCACAGACCAGCTGGAGCACTGTAATACACAGATGTAGTGCTTAATTGCCTCTAATAAAGGGGAGCATGAATTCTGTTATGCAGTTCTGCACCAGCTCCTGCAAATGGCACATTGTTAAGCTGCATCAGCTGCCAGCACGTATTGTCAGTCCCTTATCTGACGTGCAGGGGCAAAACCCCACAGGAATCTGGGTCAGGGAAGAGCCAGGCTCTGCCCAAGCCCGTGTGGGGTCAAGAAACCAAAAGCTGACCTTTGGCTGCTGCAGAACAGGGGCTTCTTGGGCAACCTGCATGCCCAGGTGGACGTGCATGTGTGGATGATCAGTCGGCGATGTCCTCCTGTAATTATAAGCGCCTCCTGTAATTATAAGGGTTCTTAATCAGTACTGCTGGGCCTGAAATGAAAGCTGACGCTTGCTTGTCAGATTGTGGGAGCTGAGGTCCAAGGCAGCCACTAGAGCCCTAACGTACCTGTTTCCCAGGGGCACAGTCAAAACCCATCCCCAAGGAAGCTAAAAGGACTGCTGTGCGTATCACCAGGAGATCGCTCCATCACTACTTTCTATTTAAAAGTCATTCCAAAACAGGCTAGAAATCCCCACGTTTGGAGGATACTCCTGTTCCAGCTCAATCCCATCCCCACGCACCACTCACTTGTCTAGTTTTGGTACATCTGGGAGGCAAGGCAGCTAGGGTCGTGTACTTACAATGTGCAAGTGCAGAAGTCCTCTCCCATCTGAGGCGACTTCTCTGTTCCCTGCTGGCTCTCAGCTGGGAGGAAAGGCTTTACAAATGTTCCCAGCCACTCCATCCTGATTCAGATGGAGAGGGCGGTGTGCTCGATACACGTTGTGTGTGATCTTTTGTTTCATTCAACGCAGAGTTGTGTTTAAGGCCCTAGGCAACTCAGCTTGTCTTCTGCTTTTAGCTCAGCCAGTCAGTTTTTTAGGCTCCTACAAATAGCAAACAATCCCTGCCTCAGCTCCTTCTGCATCATGGCAATAATATTTACCAACTTGAACATGTGAATCCGAAGGGTATGTAGCAAGCCTCTTAGAGAAAGCATCAAGTTCAAAGACACTTATAATAATACATATTATCTTTACACCACATCTATAATTACAGCAAAGTATAGTCTGTCTTGAGAAACTGAAAAAAACTTTCACATCTTAGTGTCATTTTAGGCTTTAAAAAGTATTCACCACTATTAATGTTTTGCAACCTTAGAAACTTTGCAAATGCTTTTTCGTCTTTTTTATTGTTACTGGTATGAAAGTCAGGACAGGCTTTGTTATGATGCCCAAGCAAGATCACCGAAGATCCCATAGCCCATCATTAGCAGCTTATCTGGCACAGTGAGTCATCTAAGAAATGAACAATTATGAAGCTCATCCCATCTGCTTGAATAAATACTTCAGCCCAAATGGCTGCGTTAGAGGAACGGAAAGGAAAGGCTGCCGAAGCTAGTGCTGAAGGTTACACTTGCCGTTTTGGCTCTGCTGCTTCCCAAGCTCATTCAACACGTTGTGTGTCTGTATTGTGCCGTTCTTCCTCTCCACAACCACCACCTAATTTCCTTGATGGTGGGAGCATTCTCACAGCCCTCAGGTCTTCTGCTGAGCCTGAAGGACCAGGTGGAGCCAAGGTTAGTTCCTGTTCCAAATGCACAGAGCTGGCAGAAACTGTTAAGGAGCAAAAGCAAGGCAAAGATCCCAAGTATCGGTTCTCAGACATCCACAGGCATACAACCACTGTGAATTGCAAGGGTAGAGGATCCTGTGCTCCATCTTATTGGCAGCTGTGCTGAGGACAGAGGCATTCTGTTTTTCTGAATGCCTAACGCCTTGCTAAAGGCAGCATTTTTGTCTCCCAACCCCCAAATTTTGAGCACAGGCTCACAAAAGCCCCTGACTCACAGACATGCTTTGACGTACATAAAATATTGGCCTCCCATTACTTTGAAACACCTGAATCAGTCTGTAAAAAGCTTCCAGAACAGCCCAGCCATGTAAACAGAGGCCCAGCTGCCAGCAACAGCAAACAGGGCCTGGTAACAGGGAGGTATTGTGCCCAGCAAGTTGTTAGTTCGGTCTGCTACTTGCAGGAACATGGGAACAGCTATGCTCTCAAAGCAAAGAAAAAGCCCTAGCTGGTGTGTGCTGTTACAACACTGTTTGAAGCTGCTGTCCTACATTTTTTCCTGCTTTGCAGAGACTACCCTATTTTTCCATGAATTCTGAGCTATGCATACTTGCAAACTCCTGCCGCTGCAGTTTCAGCCCAGTTAACCATCAACCATCATAGCTTTGTACAACTGATCCCCAAACCACACTTCAATTTAAAGCTGAATTCCATTCCAGGCAGGCTTTTTCCTTGGTTTAGAAGCTGTGGGTTTTGTCTTTCCCCATCTGGTTAACCAAGATGTTGCAACACAGAGGCAGTATGCCAGCTGCGGTCAATGCAGTGTTTTATACCAGTTTATTAGCAATGCAGACTCAGTGCCACAAGGAAATTCTTTTCTCTTCCTTCTCCACCTCATCTTTCTCCTTTTTCCTGCTTGCAGCTGGGAGTACTACGTGGACGATGCACCACGGATAGTCCTGGACAAGCTGGAGAGGCATGGTTACCGCGTGGTCAGCATGACAGGCGTGGGCCAGACATTGGTGTGGTGCCTCCACAAGGAGTAGCGAAGAGACTTCTGCACTCCATCTGGGGAAGGACCCTGCTGGCAATCACCTCACACAGGACTTAAAGCAAGCTTTTCTCCTTGAGTTATTTGTTTCTGTTCCAGATGCTCAGGTGTGGGGGGAGGAGTGTTGTAGGGGCAAGTCTCCACCTAATGGAAACTCACCATCCCTGCCATTTCATAAGGCCTGGGGTGAGGAAGCTATCCCAGCCCAGACTATATCAGGCACGCACAACAGATGGCTTTAACTCCACATTCATCCAAATGGCAGTCTGGCAAATACCATCTTTTTACATTTTAATAATCTATTTAGCATGCATTGGAAGGAGCTCAAATAGCAGACTTGCCTGTCTGTTCCTCAGGGCTGTCCTGGAGGTACATGCTAAATGAGAGCTCAGAATATGCCTCCTCCCAGACCTAGGGGGTCAGGGATGGGAGGTCAAGCACGGATGGCATACTGCCTCATCCCCAAAACGAAAGCAGGAACTGCTAATCTCACACTGTGCTCTTTGAGAACCCCTCCACTCAGCAGCAAGGCCAATTTCCATCCCATACTGGATCATGGCTATCAGCATCAGACTTTCAGTCCAAAGAGTGCCATTCAAGCATAACATGGTGGTTCCTGAAATACCTTAGATCAGCACGGAAAGGTTTTGTGAACGTTTCAGGTATTGGCTCTGTAAACATAGCAGCAGCAGTTGCAATGCTGGATTGTCTGGGACTGGGCATCAATTCTGCTGTAAAGGTAACCCCAATAAAATATTTCTCTGAAGAGACCTACGTCTTTGTGTGGTTTGTTCTGAGGTGCCCAAAGCCTGCTGGATTCACAGCTCCCAAGCAAGCTTTCAGGAATTATAGAGCTCCAGGTTTTGAAAGGTTTGGTTTTCATTCAGATAACATGTCTCAAAATCCTGTCCTCTGACTGAGCAGCTACTCTGAGTACGCAAACTGACAGGGTAACACTTACTCTGAAGCTTATGCAGCCATCTTTCCCTGTTCTCTGGAAAGCACTGCAGTCATGTGCAGTCTGTATTCCTACAACAGTTTTAAAAAAGGATGTTTATTGGCTTAATTTAAGAAACAGCTTTGGAAACGGAATGATGGGGTGGGGAGAATCCATACTCTCTCCTGCTAGGTGTGAGACTCTTCCTCATCTTCCCGCTTGAGCTGTTCAATCAGCTGCTGCCTCTCTGCGGCTTGGCGCATCCGCATCATCACCAGGCTCTCGTAATCCCTCTCTGAGACCACAGATGCCTGGAAGCAAAAAACAAACGCAACCTGTGAAGGACAGCATATATTGCAAAGCTCCCACAGGTCCCCCCTCCGAAAGCCACACTCACAACACCCACATTTGAGTCAGGCAGACCATTCATAGCAGTATGACACCAGGGAAATCAGGTAAGGTGTGAAAGCTGCCTGGGCTACAGAACACGGTTGGCTTCATAGCAAACAGCACTACTGACCCTTGATAGTGTCAGTGGAAAGACAAAGAATAGGACAGGCAGGGTGGTTGAAATACCCTCTTGATCCCCAACTCCTCTCACCAACTTCGCTCACAGAGGTTGGATGGGGAAACACAGCTGGTTATTTTGGATGACAAGCTTGCTCTGCAAGTCCAGCACACGCTTCATCCGTTACAAAGGCTAATGCCATAAAATCAAACCCTTGTGGTTTAGGCACGAAAGCAGCTACAGAGAAAAAAAAAAAAACAGGTACGTTCCCAAACTTGGCGCAAGAATTTCAGTTCTCAAAAAGCTCTTGGAGCCTTTCTGCTGTGTGTGGTAGCAACTGTCACGTCAGCTAAGTGGTGACTGCAGACTACCTAATAAATGTAGGCAGCAAATGACAGCTGCTATCTCCAAGCAAAGTGGCGGTTTTGGCACTCTGCTTTCAAAAGCCTTTTAGTGTTAGTAGGTGGCCTTACTGATTTCAGATGTATTCAACGCGCCGCAATGCTTGGAAACATTCATCTCATTCGCTTGACAGTTCAGGCAGAAATAAAAGTATCTTGACAAAAGGTGAACAAAAAATCACACTAATTTTTCTAGGAACTAGATTTAGTGGTGATTTAAGGACATCTTGAACAGAAAATAGAAGGGCTGAAAAGACAATCGAAAAGCAAAAGCTTCTGCAGGAAAACAGCGCAAGGGTACATTTGCTACCATGTGCCAGCAAAGTGGTTCCTCCAGCTGCAGGGTGCCTAGCTGTGAGGACAAAATAGAAGCCCACAATAGATGAAAAAACAGGGGAATTAAGAGACTGGTATGCTGTAATTGGTGTCTTTGGAACTGCATGAATGAAATAACCTTTCAGTACTGCGCAGCACAGATTTTCATAGTGTTTGAGAAAGCACCAGATTGTATCAGACCTCAGTGGCAGAACGAGGTTTCTTCAAAGCTTCTGTCCACTAACCACAGATATTTACTGACATCTGCTTGGCTGAATGAAATAGCCTACATGAGACTCATGCAAATGAGTCACCCATACAAACCTGAATCTCTACCTCACACTCTGGATTTACATTTAAGACAGAGAAGAGATTATTTCCGGCCTCATTTGGGAGCCCTGCTGATACAACAAGCCATCAGAAGTGACAGTAGGGAGAGCACAAAGGGAAGAAGCAGTCTGATTCGAGATGGGCTACAAGTTGACGTTCACACTGACTGTTCTCAAGCAATCTGGGTGCCTCTGAGGGAGCTTGCTTTCTCCTCAGGCAGAGTGTGGGCTGATGCTTTGCCACTTTACACACCTACTTCCTGCAATCCTGACAATTACCAATAGTGTAAAACCCAGTTTCTGACGTGGCTGACTCAGCAAGGGCTTGGCTCAAAACAAATACATACGCACAGGGAACTGCAGCCGGGGAAGCAGTGACAAGAGGCACATGAAGAGAAGGCGGCGTGGATTTTTACCGCTCTGGGTCCAACCTGGCTGAATCATCCCTGGACTTGCTTCTTCCACCATCCCAGCGTATTGGTGAGCGTGGTGGTCACCGTTCTCCAAGAACTTCAGCAGTCTCTCTCCTCTGCCTGTTGGACTCAGGTGCCGCTCCGACACAGCGTAAGTCTATTTTGCATTCAATTTTCCTAATGCTTATCTTTTACATCTTCATTTTGCTGCTTTTTAAATTTCCATTCCACTATTTCTTTGGTTTTCTTCAGTGTGACTGAGTCACCAGATCCCTTCCTAACCACCCACTGAGATTTTTATACCGTGCCCTTCACCATGAAGGTGGCTGGTTACCATGGTACCAGAGTGCCCTTCTGTTCTAGATGCTAGATTAAATCTGTTCTCATGGTGACTGTGTGCCTTTGCTATTCTTCACCAGCTTGTTTCTGCAGCACAGATTTAATAAGCTCAGACATCGCCATTCCTTCTCCACTGAAGGAGGCTCCCTAACATGTAAGACGGGGCAACTGCTCCTGAACACAGGGATGTAGTGTGTGAAGTTTGCATTTCCTGCAATACGAGCTTCTCTGTTTTCCTTCCAGCTACAGGAACAGGGAAGGAAGAAGTTGTTCCTGTTGCGTGGCTTGCTGCTGAGCCTGCGACTGAAGTTCAACACCTGACTGTGAAGAGTCAGCATTTTCTTTCTTCTCTTTGCCTTTCATCAGCATGGATACTTGGCGGAGAGGATCCATTAAGTCCACAACGTTCTTCAGACGTTTCTCACTCAGGAGACACAAAAAGCTGGGCAACCAAGTCATTATCTTGAATCAGAACAGCCACACACTGGACAGTGATGGACAGTGCCAGAAGAGGGAATGCTTGAGGGAACTGAAGGACAAGTCTGATTACCTGTCATGTCAGAGTGAGCAAAACCTAGCCAAGGCACAAGCACCTCCTAAGCCTCCCCGGCTGTACCTGGACAGTTCTAGCTGCCCGAATATCATTGATCATACAGATTCTCACTCTGACGTCTCCTTTTCTGGTGCTGCTCATCAATACCACAAAGCCACTCAAACTCAGTTCCACAAGGAGCAGGCTACAGACTGTGGGACCTCAGAGACTGGTTCCCAGAATGGCACCACTCTTTCTGATCTGTCTGATCCTTTCCTGTCCTTCAAAGTGGATTTGGGGCTATCGCTTCTTGAGGATGTTCTGCAGACCCTCAGGAAACAGAATCCAAGAGATTACGCCATTTGAAGGTATTTATCATTTAACATATCACATATACCTACTGCTGGTGCCAGTTTCTCTAGTCCTAACAGGAGGAAGGATACTGCATCACCCCTGTTGTGTGTGGTCTGTTTTGTTGTTGTTGCCTTACCCATCACAGACTGTTCTTGTCCTTGCCAAGAAGTCCTTCGGAAGGGAGCAGACAGGTTCCGTGCCTAGATGAGAGCACTGTCTGCTGGAACCTTTTGGGCAAGTTTCCATTTTCCACGCTGGGAATTTCCCACTCTTGACTGTGCATCTCCAACTCACAGAAGAATGCCATTGTTTGGCAAAAGACTTGCTATCTGGGGGATGTGGCTGTGACACTGCGGAGCACGGACAGAAAGGGGTATGGCATACATCACTTGTGGATAAGCAGGCAGCTTTTAAGGGGACAGGAGCAATTGTTTTCTCAAAACCCATGGCAATGGTCAAGAGACAGAAACTGATGTTTCTTCTCCCACCACATTTGGATGTGAAGAATCAAAGCTGTTCCTCTTTTTTTTTTTTTTTAAATGTGAGTTTTTCCCCTAACTCAAGTGCAGTTGGCACTCCCAGCCTGGAAACAGGTAAGCATCTATATAGGCTCATAACGCAGCAAGAGCAGTTCATTTAGTCTACTAGCAGAAGAAATTTCTCTAGATACTGCTGCTTGAAGCATGCATTGATCTATCAGCTGTACAGACATGGAAGAATAAATGCATCTGTGACTGGAAATGTCTTGTTGCCTCATTTCATCGGTAGCAAGCCAAACCAACAAAGGCAAGAGCACAGGTCCCTTATCCACAGTGACCAAGATTTATCCTCTCTGGCACTTCAGGTTTTCATGAGGGAGGGGAAAGCAGCATTGCTCTGCTTTTCTGGGCTGGGAAACAGCTAGAGCTGCTAGTATTCTGTCCTCCCCTGGGAGGGAGAATGCACACAGCTCAGGACCAAGATCTAGTGTTGAAATGAGCACAGTTCTTCACCCTGCAGGCTGGAAGTACTCTGCCTGGCTGAATACCTTTTAGGCAGGATCAGGGGTGAACTATTAAGAAGACACTGCAGAAGCTACTGGGTCACCGATGTCTTAACTTCTTTCATAGCTAGATTAGAGAACAGGTCCCTTTTTAAGAAAAAAAAAAAAAAGGAACACCACTACATACCTTAACAACCATAAGCTTTGGAAGTAGGCTACAGCAAAGTGCTCAGAATGCAGAGAAGGCACAGACAGCTCAACCTACTAGATTCCTATCAGGCTGTAAAGTCAGATAACATGAATTTGCTGAAGCCTCAAAGGAGCTTAGAAAAGATGCAAGAGAATGCCAGACAGAAGGCGTTTGTCAGCACATTACTGTGGCTGAATGGATGGCCCAAAACAAATGTGGTGCACTGGTAGGGAGATACCACTAGTACAGATGCAAGGCTGACCTTCTCATGAAGGAGTGCTTCTTGCTGTTGTAGAGGCAAAAGGTGCTCCTCACAGCACTGTATAGTCCTTGTATGCTTTGAGCCACTCAAAGCTGCAGCAATCAAGCAATCATTGCTCTCAAATTGCCTAGAGTAATAGCAGTTAAACCACAGCTTTCGTAATTCAAGCTTAACACTCCCATTCAGCTCCAGCAGTTCTCCACAATCTGCTGGACAACACTCATCCCTTGCTGTGGGACTAAACAAGCCAGTAAAAAACATGGAGGCTAGTAATTTGCAGCTTGCCACCTCCTCACAACACAACCTTTCAGCAGGCAGTCTTGCTTTCACCTAGGAACTGCTTCCAAAGCTGCCCTGGTCGAGCCTGTCTGCGGCTCTCCATTATTTGATGACTTTGGTGCACAGCTCCTGGCTGAGTACCCCACGCATAGAGCACAAGTGGATGAGTAGTGAGTGTGTTGCCTATGAGAACAGTGCAGCTCTTCAGCTGTTTTCTGAAGCAGAGCAGGGAAGGAGCTTCATTTGCACCGAGTGGGAGCAAGCAGGGGGTGGAATCAGACAAAAATAGGAGCTACCCAGAGAGAGCAAAGAGGAAATGAGGGCAGCTTCAATCAGAATGAAATTAGTGCAGCTTGAAAATGAGAATGTAGTCTGTGATGGATGGAAAGCCAGACTGGGTATGAAAGGATAAGGAAGTAGATTGGAGCAGTGGCAACTGATACTCAAAAGACCTCATTTTGGATAGTCTAGAATTTAAGAGCTGAGAACAAAGAGGATAAGACACCTAGAAGCAACACAGCCAAGAGAAGTGATGACCAAGTTACATGTTCTGGAAACATTTTAGTGGAAGCAGCAGCAGGCCTTGAGGAAGGCATGGTGTAGGGAGTAGGAAAAGGAACCAGAGCAGCTCAGAGACCTTAGCCTAGACAGCAAGGCTACACTGCAAGAGTTGCAGCTGCTTACACAAAAGCAGTAGAAAGAAAAAGCATTGCAAATGAAACTCCTGGGAAAGGATACAAGTCACTGGCCATAACTCCTCACCATTTTGAGAGCTAGCACAGGACTGATGAAGGTGTGCTGGACAGAAATGAGTCACCACCTCCACGCAGCACGAACACCACCAGCTGCTTTAGCCCGCCCTGCCTTGCTGCTGGCTCCACCAGGCTAATCCTCTGCAGCAGGCAGACGCTGCAGTTTCAAACTAACAAAGCTTTGTCTTGGCTTCTTTCCGCAACCAAAATTAGTCAAATGCTAAGTCTTTCACAGTTGAACCCACTGAGGCAAGAATCCATTAACAATTTTTGCACTAGTGACCCCCTTCAGGTATGAATAAGCTCTTCAGAGCCAGTTCTTGTCTCCACTAGTGAGGGACAGTCAGACTTGATTCTGGTTTCTCCCAGATTGTCTTCTAACGCTGACCCAACTCTGAGAATTTGCTGTCTGCAGGGCTCACTGGTTCTACATCACACATGAAGATCTGCTTGGCTACTGAATTAAGATGCTTGAACTGCCTTGCCTGAGATCTCTGGGAAATGATGCTGGTTCAGCCCAGGCTGTTCAGACAGAATATACAATTCTAAACAAAACTAGGATAGAAGCAAGGCATTCTGATGTGTAAATTCTGTAAATAAATACCTGAAAAGTCAGGAGAGAATGCATTGAACAGTCTCACAAGCCACTACAATATTTAGGCCATGAACACATACAAAGCTGACAGACACAGACATGTGGACTGAGGCCACCTGTAGCACATAAGGCAGGGGAAAAGGAGAGGGAAGGAAGTGTCAAAGGAAGTTTGAACTGGACTGAATTGGAACTCAAATAACCAGAAGATCTCAGGCCCCTTCGCACCTTTTCTCAGGGAATTACTAACTAGACCAGAAAACAGGCAGAACATGAGATATACTACACTTAGCTCTACAGCACAGAATTTACATGCTGTAAAAGAAGTGGATATAGTTCCTACTCCAAAGAAGCAACAGGAGCAGTGGGTAACCGACAGCCAACAATTTGCTGCAGCATTGCCTGTTCAAGGAGAGATTTGGCTTTATGTTTAAGCCACTAGTTGTTGCCTTTTATGCATTTCATGACTGAAGCAACAACTTCAGATTGATCATCTGGTGGAATAAACAGGAAGCAGCTAAGAGTTAGCAAACACCTTGTACTTGAAGCGTCTACCAAGCTTTAACAGCACTGGTGAAGGCAACCCAGACCAAACAATAAGGCCTCTTTACAAGGATATTCAATGATACCACTTTCTTTTCCCTCCTGCAAACCCTAACAACATAGGCTTGGTTTCAGCACTGAAATTCTATCCTCTTGTGAATGCAGTAACCAAACCTTCCTAAAGCTGCCTTCTAGGAGAGCTGTTTTAATGAGCTATCAGCCAGAGGTTTCCCACAAAGTCTACTAAATTAACAGAATAGCATTTGAGGTGTCGTGTTGAGGAAGAAGCGTCCTTATTTTTCAGAGACACACTGTGCAAAGCTCCAGTTACTCAAGTAGCTTGTGCCTCAGTGTGCTGCTACTCAGGCAAAAGGTCCTTTAAAAAAGCCACTGCTTCAGCATAAAAAGGATCATCAGAAAGCCAAACCTTTCCCTAAGAGCTTCTTTTCCAGCTCTGCGAGGAATCAATGCATCTTACCATAAATGCAAAGCACGCTTTTAAATTTGGGTTGCTATAGAAACAGACTTAGGTAACAGCAGCCTATGTTCTCCTTACCTGTGAAGTCCTAGGCTGACTACTGCTGTCAGAAAGGACAGTGCTGGGATTGTTCTGAGGCTGGCCTTCCAGCCACGAAATCTTTAGAGGATTATTTGTCAGGCCAACTTCATTCTTCACAGCCATCTCCTATCAATGAAAATATTCCATCATCATCTGAATTTTGGGTCATGCTCCCTCACATTTCACTAACAGTCTTAAGAGATTTTCTATCTCAGCCTGTTATCAATGCCAATGAAGATTTCACAGCTGCCCTACATGATAAGCACCCTTCAAAGCTCATACCCACATCAAGCATGGACAGAAAATACCACTGCCAGTACTTCTGATAAACTGGGCACAGACAATTTTTCTTTTTTTTTTTTTTTGACTGTTTGAATATATCAAGTGAAAGAACAGTGACAAGGAATAAAGAGACTCTTGTAGTGTAAATTTAAGTTGATGGAACTACTAAAACATAGGTAACTGATGCATTCTGCTTCCACAGTAACATGAATTATTATAACTCACTGTGAGTCAAGACATTTAGATTTCTTTTAAACTGCAAATGCCTGATATAACCTCTAAGACTCATTAAGCCCATCTCCACAATTGGTAATTCACCCTCAGTGAGAGCTGGTTAAATAGCTTAATGTCTGCTCTTTAAAGCAGTGTCTCTTCCCTCAGCTGCTTACCTGCACAGCCTGCTTGTTTATGTGCATGATCTGCTCTGGGTTTACGCCTCAAGCTTCGCCACTCCCTTCATGCATCTATACCTTTAGACTCTCATTACCCTTCTCCACTGCCTTAATGACAAGGCAGCATTTCCAGGCTGTCAGACAGCAAACCCTTCCCTTCTGAAGCACCTTCTTGCCCACTTTCCACTACACACATCTGTGGTCTCCACGAGACTTACAGCAGCCTTAACCGTAGCAAATTCCACAACTGCACTCCCAGTCTTCCTGCTGGAGATCAACAAATTTAGCACATCACCATACTGTTAGGAGAGAGAGAAAAAGAAAAGTTAATAACGAAACAAGAAGTTTACATACGAAGCAACTGCAAAGAAAAAGGGTATCTTCACAGACAGAAGGCTTGAGCTGTCACCCTTTCTGTCTTGCACAGTCTCCCATTCATCCCAAGCCGTCATAATTCCTGTCCCTCCAGGAAACAGTGCTGGAGAGACATGTAGCTACACACTTTGCTTCCAGTGAGCCCTAATTCAAGAAGGCTGTTCAGCTTAGTCAGAGCTGCAGGAGATACTCATATGAAGGGAAAATACAGACCACATGCTGGGGTTAATCAGATCAAAGGTTTGTCTATTCCTGCCTCCGAACTCCCCTCAGAAGTTAATGCATAGTACTTTAAGTGAAGGTAAAAGTGCACCATAACCACACAGCCTGTCTAAACCCTTATAAAGGGTATGAACCATTGAAAGGGAAGAGTTTGCATTTGTTGTTTCATTAGGAGTCCCTGCTGGGAACAAGACAGAAGTGCACCTCAGGAGCAGTTACAGATAATGGATTGTGCCGATAATCTCTGGAAATGGCATGATCAAGAGGGCTCAGCAGAGAAGAAAATGAGCTACTCTGGTTCACATGGAGCTTCCCAAAATTTACTATCCATTCTTATAGCATTGAGAGCAGGGAAAGATCACGGAATAGAGAAACAGACAGGACCTTTTGGAGAATCCGCAACAGAACATCTTTTGAGTATCCTCCTCCTGTCTCATCTTCTTTCCTGCATTTCCATTTTAGCTAGGAAACAAATGCAACAAGTTAATTTTGTCCAGCTGAACATACGTTGCCACGCTGAATACAGCTCATACCACCTGCACAATAATCAAGTTTGCTATTTACAGCTACAGTCCCAGAATTGCCAAGACAATGACTTCAACATCAGCATGAAAAGGGAACAAATTATTTGTGGAACAGTGAGAAAAGCCTTACTGGAATTAAAATTAAACTTGAAGGCATATTAACGGCTATATCAGGGTAAAAAACAGAAGCTTCTCAATGCCTAAAGCAGAGATGGCTGAAAAGTTCAGATCAGAAAGCAGAGGAGAAAAAGATAGGGGAAAAAGGGTGCTTTAAACACAACAACACATGCATGGGGGAGCTGTTGGCATGCATGATGTGCATTAAGTAGAGGAGATTCACCACCTCTGTACAAAGGGGCACGCCAGTTCAGCAGAGGAGTCCCTTCTGTTTTCCAAAACTGCAGAAGTTCTACCAGTTTTTACCAAAACCCATCTTTCTAGAGATGTCTTACTTTGAGTTTGGGAGTTATTCTGCCTTCTGCTCCATTTCCTTCTTGCCTGCCTACAGAGAAGAGAGAAAATAAAGATGAAAAGGACATGGTTAAAAATTCATCAGCTAAAGAGCATTAGCACAAAATTTGCCCTGAGAATGTAATAAGCACACTTCTGGCTTTCTTTTGCACTAGATCAGTTCAGCACCCCAAAAATCTTACACAACAGTGTCAGTACGAGCTGTAGTGTAAACTGAGTATCAGATGCCTGCATTTTTTCTTTCCGTGATGCCCAGGCTGCCCATGATCAAGGTCAGAAAATAGCTGAGTTAAAAACACAAGTGTGAGACATGCTATATTCTGTGACATTTCTCCCTGCAAAGGGGTTGTGCTGGTAGGAACAAATGAGGAAAAATAAGGGAGGACAAAAAAAAAACAATGCTAAAACATAGCTTAAGAATTGAATCTGTCCCTGCAACTAAATACTTAATAGTGAAATACTTCATAGCAATCTGCTCCTGTTCCAAGGACCAAAAAGTGATTTACGGTAACTAAATGCTCAACACCCTTCCCAATTTCCAATATGTGAAATTAAGAGAGGTTAGTGTGGGCTGAACAGCTTATAGACTGTCATACAGGAAACCAACCCATGGTGATGCCAAAACAGTTTCTGCATCTGGACCTCTGGTGCTATTCTTTTTTATTATTCCTTAGAACAACATTTTTCCTGTGAGAAAGCAGAAAATCTTGCACTATGTCAACAGCCAGAATACAAAAGGGGTAGGAAGCAAGAAACAGCAAATTTTTCTATTGAACTGAAGCCCTAAACAGCACTCTAACACGTTTTGAAAAGCAGAACAGAACTTCCTGAAATATAAAACTGCATTTTAAGCCCACATGAAATACAGAATATTTAAAAAAAAAAAAAGGCAAATCACTAGAGAAATGTGTGGATGGGAGTGAGTTTCAAGAATCCCAGAGCCTCATCCCCTCCAAGGGAAACTAACCACAGCTACTAAGCAGCCCATAAGATCTAGAGGGAGAAAATTAAATTCCAGAAGGTAAAACCTCAGCAACCACAGACTATGCAAAACTTCATTCTCCTCACTGCGTCTCTTTTGGATACTAAGAATTTTCATGGGGATACATAGGTAGTAGCCCCAATGACATGTGGTGGGTTTATTTTTTGGCAACCTTGAAACAGTCCTTATTGTGTGTGCAACACTGACTGCTTTAATTGTGACAGATGAGTTGGACTTTAGGTTTCCTTCCAGCACACCTGTGGGGATCCACATCAGGCCCTCCACATTTAATGCTTTAGAATATTTATTGAAGAGGAGCAAAAATATGCCACATAAGAAAAAAGCCTCACAGAAAAGCTCCTCTTTTGACTTATCCCTGAAAAAGGTGCTAAGTCGGATCCTATACGTGGCAATGTGACCAAGTCAGAAGGCTGCATTTGCATGCAAGCCCTGTTCCACCTGCAGAGAAGTAAGAGTCCTAGGGGCAACTTAGTTTGGCTAAGGACTCCAGTCTCACCTATTCTCACCTTGGATGCGCTGCTCTCTTTCAAGCCGGATCTGTTCTCGAATGAGCCTCTGCTGCTCTTCAAGCTGACGAGAGCCTTCTTCACGCAGCCGTATTATCTGGAGCAGAGGTAAGACAGCATGGATATCTCAGTGCACAGTTCCACACTTGGCTCATGCCAGCTGAAGACTGCCAAGGACCACTTTTGTCTTATCTCCATATCCTGGGGGCAAACCTCCCCCTCGTTCCCCCATGCCAGCTCCACTGCTCATATAATTGCACCCCTCATGATCCTAGTGACACAGTCCCTGCCAGCCAATATATACCCCATTAGCTGTTACTCTCTACTACACAAAAGAGTAGACAAAGAACCCCAAACCCTGGGACAGCGACATTTGCCAGACTGCTCCACATGCCTCTTTCACAGAGCCCATTAATCCAAAAGGCTGAGTGACTGCTACACATTTTTTTCATCTCTTCATGTGGTTTGCATCATGAATGTAAAGTCTTTCAGCAATTCTTCTCAAATGCAGTTTAAGAATTTAAAAGTGATTCATTACCTCTTGTTCTAAGGTCCTTGTGATCCGGATCTCCTCCTCTTCGCTGTCACGGGTCTGAGCTTCTCGTTCCCTGGCTTCAAGATCTGCAGAGAAAAAACAAAATTAAAACAGTGCAAAGCGAATTTTCACTGCTGACACTGCTGTCCGGAGCTGGAGGGAATGATCCCAAACTTTGCTTTGTCTACAACAGATTCAAAAGTAGAGACCTGATGCTCTGCTCTCTCCTCAGCCCAGGCACAGCCATGTATCAGCAGTCCTAATGGTCATCAAAAGTCACACTTGCCATCCCTAGCTATGACTACTAGAGATTTCAGATGGCTATGTTATACTGGATGTAAAAAACAGCCATCACAGATGAGGAGCAGTTTAACCATTAGTGGTGAATTCCAGCAGCAGAAGAAATGCAAGCACCCAGCTAACGAAGACTCCAAGCCCAGAGAAAATTAAGATTTATTACCAAGCTTTACTTTCTTTCTCTTCTCATCAAGTTTTTGTGTCCTTTCTGCTGCTTGCTTTTTGGCTTTTCTCACTTTGTCATATGCCGCCTGTCAGAGATCCAACAGAAGAGTAAGTACACATAAAGCAACATGGAAAAAAAAATGAAAAGCTGTGAATAAAGGAGACGTCAGATACTGAAACACTGCTGTAACAAGAGGTGAAGCATTTTCTGCTTCTTGCTAACACTTCTAAAAGTGTTGGCCATTAACACAAATATCCTGAAAGATAAGAGGCCCCAGGATTTCCAAACAGAGCCTGAAAGGATGAGGAAGTCTAGGAGTAAATGCAAAGTGGACTGTAGAAAAAAAAATCTCACATCTTTAGAGGTGGGAAAACTACATATTTTTCAGGAACAGGCCAAAAGTAGCTTTATGGGCACTGGAAACAAATCAGATTTGGCTTAGGGCATAGTTTTAGGATTAAAAAGTATCTATTTTATGTGAAGAATTTACTTGCAGGACAGATGCTTGACTTACATGAACATATCAAGAGCAAAGAGCATCATTCTTCAGTTGCAATAGCACATTAACATTCACGTAGAGAGACTTAAGAAACAGGGTAGACTGGCAGCTTTACTGACATCTGCTCAAACCACTGAATAATTTGTTAATCCCCCTTCAGAGCCTTTCTGTAGTAGGTAAAGCATAGCCCTACACAGAAGCTCATACATCACTTGAGCATTTTCCTTGCTTGAATAATTGTTCATGAGAGCTCTTCTCTTGGTTTTAAATAAGAAAAAGTGGTATTTTCCCCTTCATGAAAGCAAACCACTTCCTAAACACTTTTTTCCTTTTGAAGTGTAGAAGCCAAAAACTTCTTGGATACCAAAAGCACCATTGCCCCTTGGATCAAACATTACAATCTTTGCCAATATTTGAAAAGAGAAGAGCTATTTCATGCTTTTAAATCTTACGATCTATAAATTTAATATATATTCTCTCAAGTAGATGGATATCCAGATGGATAGGGTTACTTGCTCATACTGGTCTGCTTTCATTTTGTTTTTATTCTTTCCTTTCACATATTTGGATTACTTTCAGGCCTTGAGCAGTAGGCACTCAAACACTTCCTTGCAGCAAGAACAGAGAGTCCAAGCTACATCTGGCAGCCTGCAAAGCGCGTGCGGCAAAAGGAGAGAGATCATGACTATGAGCTTTTCACTTTACAAGTCTCTCATGCCCCATTGAAAGAAGTGTTTTGAGTCCTAAGTGATCACATATCTAGATACTATTTATGTCAGACCTTGATTTCCAGCAAACTGCAAATACACTGTTGTCACACAAATTTAAAGCACTCCTGAAAGTGGTGGTTACTTTTTAAAAGACAAATATATCCCAGTTAAGCACATTATTAAAACGGTGTCTCACATGTGCCACAAAACAAAGCTAATCCCAGCACACCAGATCAGGAAAAAAACATTTGTTGAAGTCCTTATCTGGTGCCTACTATTTGGTATCACAGACAACAACAGGGTACAGACAAGACTTGCATTCATGAAAGCTCAGTTGGAGAAGAGAGCACAGAGCAAGGCAGACAGGATGAGATTTTCCACTACTTCTCCAGCATGCACGCACAGAGTAACACCACACAATCCCACCATTACAGAGGGAGAGGCATCCTTACCCTTGCTGCTGCATCTGTTAGCACAGCTAAGGCCTGAGACAGTTGGTGGAAGACTTCCGCTGGGAATTAGAAGAAAAAAGGGTAAGATGCAGAAAACCATGGCAGTGGCTTGGAGATGAACCAAAAAAGACAATCCCTTATGGAAGAGACCTGCAGAACATCAGAAAGAAAAAAAATCTTTCCAAAATATTTTGTAAGCCAAACTATAACTAGAATCTGGTTATCTGGTTATTAAACCTGTGCAAATTAAGAAACAAAAACCTCCAACCACTTCTTTTTAAGAGAAACCTTGCAAACATGAATTCAATAGAACCCATCTACAGACAATTCTTCAATTTGCAGCCAGACTGATCATTACAAACAAATTTTGTCTCTAAAGTAGCTTTTCAGCTCGAGATCCAAACTCTCAATTTTACAGCAATATTGCTGACCCTCTTCCTGGAGGAATACACACGTAAGTTGGGGGTCTGCCCACTGCATTGACTTAACACTTGTATTTTTAAAACCAGCATGTATGCATTCAACTTTAAAACCCTGAGCTACCTGATAGTGCTGCAAAGAACTCTTAATCCTGCATATGTACGCATTACATGACACAAAGCCAGGCATTCCCTTAATCACATACAAAGAGACCTGAAGTTAAACAGTTAAACACTTCCAGGAGTCTCCACACGTGACAATAAACACAATATGGTTTGACAATATGGTTTGCAGCCATATAGTTTCATCTTACCTGCTCTGGGATTGTCTGGGTTCTTATCTGGGTGACATGTCAGGGCCTTCTGGCGGTACGCTTTCTTAATCTGCAAGAGCCAAACAGATCTGCCAGTTATACCATTTAGTCCATGTTGAGACTTGAACTTGGAAAAAAACACACTACAGAATCAAAAAAGCAACTCAGGGTGGGCCCCTTGGGCCTGGCAGAAAAATAAATCCAGTTCTGATGTTGACCACACCATTAACCCATCACACTGAAAATACCTTTCCCTGTTTTCACCAGTCTCCTGCAATAAGGCAAGACTTCTGAAAAGCTCAGTTTTCTACTTAGCACAGCGACCTGCCCTTTTAGATCACACTGTTCTGCAAAGATAAGCATTTGAGCCCAGGGTACTTGGTAGGCTGGCAGCCACATTTTGAATGAGTTTGAGCTTTTCAAAGCTGGAAGTTTTACCTCTAGTTACACTGTATTACAGCAGTTAATTCTCCTGATCATCAAGGCCAAGTCTGGTTCACAGAGGCAGTTTTCTAGCCAGAGGGATACCATGTTCCTTGCAACTACAGCTCTTTGGGACATTTACTGAACAACAATTGAGCTTGGCAAGGTGAAGAAATTTGGACTGCAGACTGCTTAATCTCTTCTACACTTCACAGAAAAATTGACAACTTTATGGGCTAAGTTACTAATAAAGTTTTTAATAAACTGAGTTCCCATTCTCAAGGAAACATCTGCATGCAAGAAAGGAAAGGAACAAAAGCTGCTCTGCTCAACTGCCAGTTTTTTGTTAGATTGTGTGGAATTAGTGGTGGTCCGGCACCACCTGGTGGACAAAGCTGATGGAATGAAAATGTGCAGCTGAAGCCTCACAGGCCTAATCCCGTCTCTTCCATAAGAGAGACTCCAATAAACAGCAAGTAGTCATGACTATGCCAGAAGCTGTTTACATGGCAAGTTCAGATAAGGCTTCTCTAAGCAATGAAGTTACTTAACAGTTTTTCTCCCCTTTGTTCACGTCTTTCAGTAAAATCTCTCTGAATACAAACGGTCCTTGTGTTGGTTGCTTCAAGTATTTTACATCAAGGATCAGCACTCTAAAGTACACTTGTCAATGTAAGGCACATCATAACTTCCCATTTGTAATGTCCTCCTCCTTTTTTCAGCTCCAGTAACTAGCTCAGCAGTGAAACTGATGCCACTTGAAGCCCTTCATCTCATTCAACCCTATGAATTAATTGTATTTGGCTTGTTCACCTGTTTTGTGGTTACAACAGAATTTCCAGTTAGTCCCTGGCACATTTGCTGGTTAGGCAGTCTTTTAGTTCTGAGTTTTACCTTCGTTGTACTTTTACTGCTCTTTATCACCAATAAAAAAAAAAAGTGAGAAAGCTTAAGGTAAGAAAAGTTTTCCTTTTAACTTCGTTCAGTTCATAGTTTTACTCTGAGAGTTACTTCCCTGGAACAGGTCACCTTCCCAGTTCAGTGGTGCAAGTCTTTTGAATGTTTAGCACTGACTTAACTATTAAATTAACAAAACAACATAACCATGTAATTCCAAACCCGCAAAACTAACGAGATTACTTCCAGGAGCCTACAGCGCCTAGAACGCCCTCTAGCAACTGGATTCCTGGCAAACACCGGAGGAACTTTGCTTGTGAGAGTACATAAACGAGGCAAAAGGAACCAGCTGGCTGGGGCTCGCTTCAGGAAGAAGCCTGGTACCAAGCGGGCACTTGGAGCAGCCGTGAGGGGAGGAGGAGAGCAGCCCCTGGCCCTGACCCAGCCCCGAGCCCCCTCCCGGCCGCCCAGGGCCAGCCGGGGAGCGGCAGAGCAGGGCCGGGGGCGCCCAGGACGGCTGAGGGAAGGGGGCGGCCTCGCCCCGAGCCTCCCCACGGCGCTGACCTCCTTCTCCGACGCCTTCTCGCCGACCCCCAGCAGCCCGTACAGGTCCAGCTGCAGCAGGTCCTTATCGACCGCCATCTTGGAGCGACCGGCTTCTCCCCGCGCCGCCGCCCGGCCCGCGCTGCCTGCCGGGAAATGTAGTCTTCCCCCCGCCGCCTCCCCTGCTCTCAGCGCTAGGAGGCTCCCACGAGCCTGCCTACATGTACCAGAATGCCCCGCGCCGACTGGGCTGCCCTGCCTCTCCCAGAGAGCACAGGAGGGCGCGAGGCTTGCTGGGTGATGTAGTTTGCTTGGGGCCACGGCCAGCATAGCCGAGCGGCCGAGGGACTACAAATCCCATCGGGCCTTGCAGGGGAGGGACGGTTTTCGTTCCCCGCAGGTCTAAACCCCTCCTTGTGGAGAGTTGTGTCAGCGTTACACGAAAAAAGCACCAAAACAAAATGTAATCATGCACCGGCCTCGCAGCCAAGCTGCGGGGGACTGTATTGGGGAAAGCAGTTCACAAAGCATGAGCCACGCTGCAGGCCTCCCCCAAAACATGCTAAATATGCCCTTATTAGGGAAAAGTTCACACCTTCTGTAGTGTGTATGATGTGAAATAAATGGACCTGTGATAGCTAGCAAACGGGTCTGTCTCCAGTAGATTAAAAGACTTAATTAGAAGTATGATTAGAGTCATTTTGTAGGTATGCCCCTTGCATTTTCATCCTTGATGCGAGTGCTAGCACATCTGATAGCTGTTGTGTTAGGAGACTCCCTTTTTCGAGGCTCTTCTTGCACAGTTACCCAGTACATACTGCTGTTCTCTTTCTCTAAAGGGACTATACAGCAGGAAGAAACTGTGGGTGGCCTTACAGGCAGATAGGGACCATGATTTTTGGAAGGTCTCCAGTCTAACCTCAGGTCTAAGCCAATCTTCATGCCTTTGGCAAACCAGCTCCTTTATGCCTCAGCTTCCCTTTTTATATTTTGGGGAGAGAGAGAAAGTAATATTCTCCCCTTTAGCCACTGCTTTCCTTTCAGGCAGAACCCCATGTAGTAAAACTATCTGGACTCGTTCCCTTTAGTGCAGGGATTGTGTATCACTAGACATTGCTGTACTGTCTGCCACAAGGAGATTGTGTCTGTAGTCTTTATTACAGGGCAGACAGTTTGGTGAATACCACGGAAGACATTGAACAAGCATGGATAGCTTCTTACCTTCCAGACAACATAGCTCCATGAATATGTTGAAGGTATTCTCTTAACAATACAGACACGCAACTATGCAACCTACCTTCAGACACAGGCAGCGTCATGGTGATAAGTCAGGTCCAAGTCCAAACCAAGAAGCCACTTCACAGGTCAGGTGAGTGCCAGATACATTCAGAACGACAAGATATGGCTGAGGCCAAGTGATGAAGTTAGCGCACAGGTTGAGATCTGAATCAAGAAGCTCCATTACCAGGTAGAGACCAATACTCATCTGACACATCAAAAGGAGAAGAACAGCCCAGGGCTGAGCTTAAATAGAGCTCCTGGGCCAATGCATGGAGGGATGGAGGGTCCAGGTGAAACTGATCGGGGCAATTAAGACTTGGTGCATTGAGGGCCCTGACACGGGCCTTTATTGTGTTGCTTTGGGCACTTCTTGCAACCTCTCTTAATCTGATGTGTGAATCCAGAAAAGAGAGACATGAATCATTAAAGCATATGATCACCACAGGCGATCCTTGTGTTCCTCACTTTGTGCAGAAGAACAGACAGCAGGAGGAAAGACTGAGGAACCAAGAATGAGCAGACAGTAGATTTCCCAAGTTTCAGGGACTGAGCTAGAACTAGGCAGAAATGTCTGAAGTAAATGTTTCTGTGCTGCTCCAGTGCATATTTGGGCACACCAAACCTCAGTTCCAGCCAATGTGCCATTGTGTTATGTGGGATGGGAGGAATGAAACCATTGCTCAGCAAATCCTGTGGTTTCCTAGTGACATTGTTAGGTAATATGGCTGGATTCTCACATGAGGGAAGACCAGCTTGTATAAATTCCTTGAGCTTTTCTTAGGACAAGATCCTGCAGTCTTAAACCATATAAAGATATGTGGTTGTTGAAATGCATACAGAAGAGCCTTGTCCCATCAGTCAAGGCTTTCAGTGGCTACAGTCATACTTCTTAAACACCTGAAACTGATTTCTGGAATAAATAAATAAATAAATAAATACATAAATACATAAATAAATAAATAGAAGTGTACGTCTGGTTTGTGAAGTTAATTCCCATGGATGTAAAATTGATTTGTCAGAGATTCTTATGTGGCTTCTCTTTGTCATGCCTGATACAAACACACTGGAGTTGTCTGGGATGTCACGTTAGTGTTGGGTGACATTTAGACAGTCTGGTTGGGAGAGCTGTGGTTGTGGGAGATGCTCATCAGTGTATGCTCTAACTTCTGCCTTTGGAGAGGTGGGAATAGAGTGGGTGAGAAAATATTTCTTACATCTTCAAGAAACGTGTAGACGTACAACTTATTAGCATGGTTTAGTGGTGGAGTTGGCAGTACTAAGTTAAAGGTTGGACTAGATGATCGTAGAGGTCTTTTCCAACCTGAATGATTCTATGATTATATGATATTAAAATGGAAAGGAAACAAATGACTGCCCGTGACACATTTATTTTCTTTTACCAAAACAAAATACAAGCGACTCAGAAATTTGGTCGTTCCTGTGTCTCAAGTGTTTGCTTATCTAGCAAGGTCTATCCTTGGTGCTGATACACCTTCCTTCCCCAAAGCCATTCTCTTCTGTGGCTGAGATGTCAGAATGCATCATATGATGTACTGTGTCCATTAGAGGTGGTTTCCAAACTTGATAACTTATGGGAAAGTCATGATGCACTTTCTGAAGCTGTTTCTCACCTCCTTGTTTCTCAAGCTGTAGATCAGGGGGTTCAGCATGGGGACCACCAGGGTATAGAAGACTGCCGAGATTTTCTCCTGCTCCATCGAGTAGCTGGAGCTGGGTTGGATGTAGCTAAAAGTAACAGATCCATAGAAAATGGTGACAGCTGTCAGGTGAGAGGCACAGGTGTGGAAGGTTTTCTTCCTGCCATCATCTGACTGGATCCTCAGGATGGCAGAGAGGATGAGCATGTAGGAAACAGCAATGACAAAGAGGGTGAACAGGGCAATAACTACAGAAAAAGCTATTAGCAAAGTCTCATTATGATGGGTATCTGCACATGCAAGTTGCAGCAAGGGAGGTATGTCACAACAGTAATGATTGATGAGGTTGGGTCCACAGAATGGCAGCTCCAGCAAGCCACAAGTGTGAGTCAATGAATTCAGGAGTCCCCCCATATATGATCCCACCACTAATTGCCTACAGACTCTCTTGGTCATTACAGTCGTATAGAGCAGTGGTCTACAGATGGCTACATAACGGTCATATGCCATGGCAGCCAGCAAGAACCCCTCTGTAGTGAGCAAAACAGCAGAAAAGAAAATCTGGGAAAGGCATGTGGAATACGAAATGGTTTTGCTCTGCACTAAGAAGCTCACCAGCAACCTTGGAACAAAGACAGTAGAACAGCAGAGGTCAATCAGAGACAAGTTACTGAGGAAAAAATACATAGGAGTGTGAAGTTGGAGATGAGTCCAAATCAAAACGATCATCCCAAGGTTCCCCAACAGAGTGATGATGTAGATCCCTAAGAATAAGAAGAAGAGAGGGACCTGCAACTCCAGATGATCTGTCAATCCTAGGAGGATGAAATGGGTTATCGTGCTGTCATTCCTCCCATCCATCTGACTTAAGGGATACAACAGGAGATCTGCTGAATTACAAAGAATGGTCAGGATGAAGAAGGTGGTATTAATTACACAGAGTAACACAAACTAGCAATTTGAGGTTTATTCTGAAATTGTAGTCTGGTTATGCCTTCAATGCTGAATCAAGATAAGGTACGAAAACATTTGTCCTTATAATTTTGTTTCATTCCAGGCCAGGTGGTGTTTGTATATCTAACAAAATGCAGCAGCAAGTAACACATTCCTGAGCTTAAATCTCTACAAGCTTATGTGTAATGGAGTGAACTCTAAAAGCGAGTGCATGGCTTCTTTTCCACCTACATCATTTTAATCTGTGATTCTTGTACCTTTGCCTCACTTGCTAAAATATTATGTTGTCCATATATCGATTGTCTAGATTTCTTCTGGAGAGGAGAGGATACATTAAAACATTAGAAAACTCTTACACGGAACTTTTTCAGCTCTACAACTGTTTCTGTCACAGATAGGATTACTAATTTTAGCTAGGTTACTTCTTCCTCATCATTATCAATACAGTTGATGAAACTCCTTGATATCAGATGCCAGATGTTTGAACCCTGGCACACAATCCAAACAGAAGCCTAGAAGACATAGCTTAGTGGAAGATTTGGAGAAACAGGGTTTGAGAACACTATTTTCACAGAAAACAATGATGAAAAGTTAACGGTCAGTTTCCTACCATTATTTAGCTACTGAAGGATTAGCTATATATTCAAAGGTGATTTCTGATATTCTTAAAATCAGAAAAAAAAATAATTCTGTCTGCCTATGCTTGTGTCTAGCTACCTTTATACTTCTTTGTGACCAAAGAGCATCATACACACTAAGGGAGAACCACAGCTCAGGGCCCACATAACCCAGGAAACTGAAGGGAATAAAAAGTTTCTGTGTAGTGAAGAGGGAGCCACAATGAAGCGAAGAGCTAAAGAGAAAGAAAGAAAAAAGTAGAGAGAGCTTTGCACAGTGTAGCAATTTAGGAGGGAATCATCTTCTTACCAGTGCATTAAGATCTTTGCAGTCCAATACACAGCAACATGCTGTTTTCTTGAACAATGTGCTGTTGTAATGCACATTGCAGTTTCTTACCTTGGATTGACTTCTATACAGCCCAAATTCAGACTGGTAGAATTAGGTAGCCATAGACCTGAAGCATATGTTTTAGTCAGGAGGTTAGACCTCAAACAATTTTAGCCTGTTGAAGTATTTTCTTTTTCTTCTTGCTTTTCTTCTTAATGGAGTGATTCTGGTGCATTTTTCTAGGCTTGTTACCCCAAGAAAGTACAGCAAGTTGTTGGGCATTGAAATCTCTGTCAGGTTTTGCAATTTAAAAGTCTAGTTGCAGATGTACCAGAAA